GCGCATTAGGTCTCAATGCTCCTCTATCAGTATCATCCGATTGGATCATCCTTCCAGTCAGGATTGGGGGGAAAAATTAGAAAAAAATGAATCCTGGGCAGAGCAGCCCAGTACGAGGGCAGTGTAAACTGTGTTCTAGTTGTAAAGTGTGTGCGTGTGGGTGCATCTTATTAGCTAAAATAAAAAAGATAAAAAATAAAGAATTCCCACATCCCTTTTGTTACTTTTGTTAACTTTGGCCAAGGGAAGGGAACATCCTGGTTGTCCTGTGGGTGCACTCTCTTGTCTCAAACAACGCTGGCCAATGCTGGGAGTTGGTTATTTGTGTGAGCTGTGCTCACTTAGCGTCGACCCTACATGCTGCCTAATATCAATTCATTACTGGGTGGGGGGATCGTTAGATCTCCCTGGTCGGGCCTTGGCCGTTGGCCATTCCTATGGCCAGACCAGGCCTGCCTCGTTCATGATGTTGCAGTAGGCAGAGAGGTAAATACTGCCATGGAAGCCTAAACGATCTAAAAAAAGTAAATAACTTATTTAATTGTTTCATTTTTATGTCAATGGATAGGGGCACTTTAGCGTTAGGAATACAGTGTTGCATTCCTAACACTGTATTATTGTCCCCTTACTGCTTGGCAACTCATCCTGCCCGTCTGATAGAACGCATAATTCATATCATTTTTTGAAAAAAACAAACATTGCCAGTCCTAAATGTGGATGAATTGGGATTAAATACGAAAACACACCTGAAGCACACATCAAAATAACTATATATTAAATTGTATTGTTTTCTCCTCAGGGCTTCCTGACCAAACTCTAAATTGTATCAAATTAAAACGTGAATGACTAAATACAGCAAATTTGAAGACCTTTTTCCAAACTAGCTATTTTTTACCTAAATTGTAAAATGTAGATTTGAGTTCAGTGTGATATATGGGGGGAAAGTATCTGTAAGATAACGCTATCCATACCACAGATTTTCAGCTCACACAAAAGAGAGCTTTTAAAGAGGAAACAGGGGTACAGGGTCAGGGGACCAAAAAGAGGGACTGGACTTAAACTAAAGAAAATTTGGAAGGTAGGAGTTAAGACTCAGTGGCAAATTATTTATTTGTAGAATATAACCTACAGTGTATGAAACATACTTTCCATTATTTTGGCTGGATGGGGTGAATCCTTTGGTGCATAACTAGTTAAATATTTCTTGGAAGTCGCCTCCTACCTTGCTGCCTGCAGGGTGGGTTAGATGGTAGGGGCTGCTGAAGGGAGGTGCTTGGAAAGAGAGGCAGAGGGCGGATAAACTGCATTGTATTCGCGATAACACTTCCAGTCTCCATTCTGAGGGAAAGGATTCGTTCCTGATCAGCCATGGCTTTATCATCCTTATCTATGCTAGCCGGTGTTCTATGTCTCATCTCACTCACAGGAGGTTTGTATGTAAGACTTTTCTACCCCATATTTATGTTATATATTTAATATTAGATTATTGGAGGGTGAGGGGTGTAGATGATAAAGATGAGAATAAAATGAGCCACAAGGTGGGCACATGGTCTAGGGCAGGGCGGGATGGCTGAGTATTATGGGAGTTGCAGTTGTGAACCATCTGTTGGTCTACCTTTCGACCATCTCTGCTGGAGACAGACCATATGCAGGGCCATGTGCTCAGGCTGCTACTAGCAAGCATAGGAGAGATGGCATATAAAGCTCACACACATATCAAGTCACCTAAGAACGCATCTGGCTGTAAATATTTTCTGTTGAGAATCCCCCGTGTTCTATAGTGCTTATGTGGACACTTTGTAGAAATTACAGATACTGATAAAAACATTGGGCATGGAGGCTGAAAAACAACAGAAACTGGACCCTTATTCACATAGTAAGAAACGGACAGTGATATTCAGTGACTGGAGGGGTTAATTCGCCAAACCAGGAATTGTAGAGATTTGACGAAAGATCTGTAAATTTCATGCCAAATGAACTGAGCTGGACAGATGGTTGAATCGAAGAAATGTTCCAGTTTATCCTAGTATGGCCTAAACTTGTAATTCTTGTTTTCAATTCTCCACAATTAAGCCTTTGTAGTCTGTAAGAGTATATTAAATGCAGTGGACTGTCCCATGTTGTATGAATGTATAACTGGCCATGTGCCTGCAGATAGTGTATTCTACATCTGTAACAATCTTGCTGTTGCTGAAGAGAACAAAGGTTTCTTTGCTTGTAATGATGAACTCATTCTGCTTTTCCTGGTAAGAAATTCCCAAACAGTGCTGGGAAGCAAGGCAGGGGAGGTATCCAGATGTCTGTTTGATTCAGATTATTAAAGGGATACTAAAGGCATCAAAACAACTTGTAATAAAGCAGTTTTAGACCGTAAGCTTGTTTGAGCAGGGTCCTCTTCAACCTATCGTTCCTGTAAGTTTTCTTGTAATTGTCTGATTTCTAGTTAAATCCCCCCTCTCATAATATTGTAAAGCGCTACAAAATCTGTTGGCGCTATATAGAAACATAGAATGTTACGGCAGATAAGAACCATTTGGCCCATGTAGTCTGCCCAATTTTCTAAATACTTTCATTAGTCCCTAGTCTTATCTTATAGTTAGGATAGCCTTATGCCTATCCCACGCATGCTTAAACTTCTTTACTGTATTAACCTCTAACACTTCAGATGGAAGGCTATTCCATGCATCCAATACCCTCTCAGTAAAGTAATACCTGATATTATTTTTAAACCTTTGCCCCTCTAATTTAAGACTATGTCCTCTTGTTGTGGTAGTTTTTCTTCTTTTAAATATTGTCTCCTCCTTTATTTATTTAAATGTTTCTATCATATCCCCCGTCTCATCTTTCCTCCAAGCTATACATGTTAAGTTCCTTTAACCTTTCCTTGTAAGTTTTATCCTGCAATGCATGAACCAGTTTAGTAGCCCTTCTCTGAACCCTCTCTAAGGTATCAATATCCTTCTGAAGATACGGTCTCCAGTACTGTGTACAATACTCCAAGTGAGGTCTCACCAGTGTTCTGTACAATGGCATGAGCACTTCCCTCTTTCTACTGCTAATACCTCTCCCTATACAACCAAACATTCTGCTAGTATTTCCTGCTGCTCTATTACATTGTCTGCCTACCTTTAAGTCATCAGAAATAATCACCCATAAATCCCTTTCCTCAGATGTTGAGGTTAGGACTTGATTAAATATTCTTTACTCTGCCCTTGGGTTTTTACGTCCAAGATGCATTATCTTGCACTTATCCACATTAAATGTCAGTTGCCACAATTCTGACCATTTTTCTAGTTTAACTAAATCATTTGTCATTTGGCTTATCCCTCCTGGAACATCAACCCTGTTACATATCTTAGTATCATCAGCAAAAAGACATACCTTACCATCAAGACCTTCTGCAATATCACTAATAAAAATATTAAAGAGAATAAATGGCAATAATAATAACAGTGTATATATATCACGCTCCCGCAATCTCACTGCTCCATGGTATGACATTTCGGAGTTAACTCCTTAAGGAAAGAGGCAATAGTACACATTCTGATCAAAACAAATTGTAAATGTAAACAAAATCTAGAATTTGCACTATATGTCTGTCCAACCATAATGTATCTCTCTTATTAAGTGCACCCACACTTATTATATATAATTTTGTTCAGGGGAAACAAGGCTTTCATGTCATATCAAACATTTAGATATGAAACATAATTTAATAGGTTGTTTTTTTACTGCTCTAAAACACTCAAATTTGTGTTCAGTAATGTATCACGAGTACAACAGTCCCCCCTCCCACCATGTACAGGTTTTATGAGGTAAGTGTAAATCTTTTTTTTTTACTCTCATCCTTCTGCACTGTTTGCTTGTTGTTGTTTTTTCTCTCTCCCCCTTACTCTGTGATTCTTACACAAGATATGAGAATGAGAATGGTGTCTATTGTCTATCAGACCTGTGCCTTATCTGCACTCATGTTGCTTTAACCCCTGTATGACAACTCAACTTTGAATTCTGGGTATCGTTTTTCTCAGAAATGCTTTACTCTTGAGAAAGGGAGGTTCTTCCAAAGTGTATATTGATATTAATATATGTATCAAATATATCAAAATACATATATAATATTAAAATCCACTAAGAATGAAATTATGTATAACTGTATCTAATTTCATTGTTCAGATTTTATCAAAAAATATGTTGAACATATATATAATTATTTTTTTTTGCTTTGATGCGCTGTTTTGGGGACTGTCTGACAACCCAGGCAGCTCTGAAACTTGCTATTGCGGTCATGTAATTGTGACGTTATTACGATCACATGGCCCAGGAGGGACGACTTTCGTTGTCAGGCAGTCCTCCCCCATAGTGTATCGCCAGGGCATGTAAGAACCCAGAAGCTCAGGGACTGCACACAGTTGCGGTGCTCTATGCCGCTGTAGCTGCATTTAAGCCCACTTAATGTGGGACAGTATAAAACATCGTAGTGGTGTTAACAGGTTAAATCAATTTTGTTTTTGTTGGTGCAGCCCTAGCCACACCTCTCCTGGCTGTGACTCACATAGCCTAAATTCTTTTTTTAAATGGTTTCATTTTCAATCAGATTACTTGTTTTTGAAGTTTTTATCTCCTGCTCTGTAAATTGAAGTTTAATCACAGACAGGAAGTTGCTGCAGAGTCTAGAGGGCTATAAACAAATCAAGAGATAAGAAGAGCAAGAAATAAGAAATTCTAAATTAAAAAGAATATGCAGTAAAGGAAGTTTAAACATTAGATCTCTCTCTACAGGAAGTGTTTAGAGTCGCATTGTAAGAAACATATAGGGAGATGTGGCAGGGGCTGCATAAACAACGCGATTTAACTCCCCAATGGCAGATAATTGAGCAGTGACACTGCACCAAAACTACTTCATTAAGCTAAATTTGTTTTGGTGCCGGTAGTGTCCCTTCAATTATTTTTATTGGGGAATAGTTGATATTCTTGATTCTCTAGTCCAGGGATAGGCAACCTTCGGCACTCCAGATGTTTTAGATTACATCCATAATGCTCTGACACCCATAGTGCTGGCAAAGCATCATGGGAGGTGTAGTTTAAAACATTAGGAGTGCCAAAAGTTGCCTATGCCTGCTCTAGTCTATAAAATTAATTTAGAATATTGTCCGTAAAATGTTTCTACCCCCACTTAAGCAATGTGCCATCTAAATGTAAAAAAAAAAGCTTAGCATGCTGTAGTAGTTATGGTGCCAGGAGTCCCATAATACCGTCCAACAGTAATCTGTCTCTTTCTGTGTCGGGCATCTTCAGCCTTTCTGGCCTGATTTTATTATTAAAAAAACAGAATTTCATACTCCTGAAACATCATACCAGGGTAGACTTATTCTTTATTGGCTGAAAGCCAATACAATGATAACATGTGTGTTGCAAACACATTCAGGGAAAATAATAGTCAAAATTCTCACAATTATGCAAATATACATTTAGAAACACATTTTGGAGTTTGTTTTAAATTGCAAATTTGGTTAGACCAAAAGATCATTATATAATGCCAGAATAGCAGTCCTGTTTGATCAGTCAATTAATTTTTTCCCCTCCCGTACTTAATCACATTTTCCTTTCACACCCTTCTTCTGGGGGGGGGGGATGTAATTAGAGCTTCTTCTCTCACTGGGCCCTGGTGGAAGAATAACAGAAGGGCCCCCTGCATCGCTCCTCCCTATAATGTGAGCATGCATTGCGTGCTCATATGAGCAACAAAGGGTTGAGCACTGGGGCTAAAGTCAACAGCTATTCTGTACTAACTCTCTGCAGCCAAATAGTGCTATGTCCTATAAGCAGTTAAAAGGGAACATTTGACTTGAATGTACATGCAAAAGTTAGAATTTTCGATTGTTTGAAATATTTTTGTGTGATTTCCCCAGCTGGAGGAACTTAATTTTTTGTGTGTTGTTTGTTCTCTACCATTTCATCTCATTGAAAGTGGTCTGGGTACAGTGGCCCTGTCCTCCTAACCCTGAAGTGTAAAACATTGCAGTTTTTGAGAAATGGCAATTTGTACACTACAAGATTAAGTCAACCTGTAGTGGCTTTCCGTATGACAGCTGCTAGAGGAACATCCGTAGCACTGCCTGAGTAAAACTTGGACGCGTGGTGCGGAAGCCCCATAGGAACACTTTCCGATGGGATGAATGCTTTCCTATGGGGATTTTTTTAAGGAAAATGTAATTTATCCAAAATAGCTCTGGATAGAACCAAACCACTGACATGGCACACTAACAGATGGCACGCAGTTGTGTTGAGCTAGATTATAGAATTAGTAAAGTTCTCTGCATCAAGTATTGAGAGGCATGCTCCATGGAGTGATACAAACATGTAACATTTACTCATTAAACAGTGATTTGTAGTAAATTGATAACTGAAATTCCAAAATTTAGATGGAGGTAAGGGCTTGCACACCATATAAATAATTTGGAAGGCTAATGAGGAAGTATGAAATCACTGCACAATCTAATGTGCCTAAATCATTCGCACTGCCCCACGAGGAGGTGTAAAGAAACTATGAATGTTAGTTTATATACTGTTGTAATAATAATAACATTGTTTTTCTGAATTCACTATTTTCTCCTTGTCTCTGACTTAGTGTTGGCGGACGACTGTGCACCCTACGTTGGTTCTGATCTACGTATACATGGGAAACAGGAATGTATTCTATCGTTCTGTGCGGGAAGTTGCTGGGAGAGATACTGCGGTTTGCTCCCTGGAACAATGTTGGATCAGTCACAATTCTCGTGTCTGCTAAACAAGTAAGTAGCAACAAAGGAACAACAGTAAGGAGTAGCGTCTGCCAAGACAAAAATGTGTTTGAGAAAATTGATAGGAAACAATATGGTCAAAATGATCCCCCATTTTTTAAAATTGTATTATGAAAATAATGCAAAAAATAAATATAATAACAAATACTTGCCATTAAAGCTCCCTATAGATGCACTGTTTAGGGTGTTTGCCTGCAGCTAACTAGAAAATACTTCCAAGCAGGAGGGTCTCTTTTTGGTCTATTGGGTCTTATTCTACAAACACCTGTACAACAAAGGGGTTTATGGGATAAATAGTCACCCAGGAGCAACTCTGCTTATAACATAGGATGAGCAGAACGACCCTAAATTGATAGCAGTCATACCTTAGCTGATATCGGTTTAATCATAACATGGCTCACTCTCTGATGAAGAGAGAATTCAATGTATGTTGTTCAGGTGCAGATAGGTTGTTTTAACATCATGTGGTTCTGTTGGGGGGGATATTTTTCTCTCTTATATGAGAACATTACAGGCTTCCCTTACATGCCCAAAAGGTAGATCCCTTCAGATGTTTTAAAACAACAGCTCCCATGATGCTTTGTCATTCTAAAGGCATGCAAAGCATCATGGAAGTTTTAGTTCTACAACATGTTGCGATCTACCTTGTGGGCACAGTTGCCTTACATAGTGTGAGGGAAGCAGCACTGTGTGATGTACTACCACTCCCAGAGCTTAGAAAGCCACCAAGGAGAGCAAGAGAACAACCACCAACCACCCTATCTTAAGTAAACCGCACCAAAGACATGCAAACAAGATGGTGGCCTAAAAAGAGAAAGCAGTGTACCCAACCACATGATCCACCTTGCAAATGAATATATATATCTTCTTTAGCTAAGCATACAGCTCGGTTCTAACATCTTATGTAAACTGAAAATTCCTGATAGCACACTTCTGGATGGATCAATGTATTGATTACATTTTTTAATATATTTCTAACACCATTAGCGGTAGTATTTTGTTACATTTCGTGTTAATTACATTTTGTGTTAATTACAAGCATTGCATTACAGTAATGAAGCTTCTGTAGTTTGGGGATGTAGGCAACTGCGTCATAATTCCATGAGTCCTGTCTAACTCCTTCTGTGTAAGTGCCAGTCTTGTTCCTTAACAGGTTAACTTACCCGTCAAGGTTATTCACTAACATAAGAATTGTTGGGAGTTTAAAGAGAATTTCAAATTTAAGGTCAAAGTAGCAAAATTCTCCAAGTCAGCTATGCTTCCTGATTGGCTTCTTTGGCCTTAATTTCTGACAATTCTCACTTAAGAGAGTCAGTGATTTCCTGTAGAACCTTCCACCCTTTAACCACTATCGTGTTTCTTCAACAGTCTTTACGTGGTGATTGGAGTGGGCCTTCTAATAGGTCTGAGTTTGGTGGCTTCTCTGATCACCTGCATCTGTAAATGCTGTTTATGTTGCCATTTGTCTTCCCGTCCAAGCCGTTGTAAGTATTTCAGTATTTCTTCAACTCTAAAATAATGTCAAATAAATACATAAATTCCAAAGAACATTTGATGTCAGTCTGTGTACTAATCACATAAGAGGAAAGGGGTTAAGGCCAAGGGGTCCAGATAATGTAAGGATACAGTCCATAGATGTAGGTAAAGTCACCAAAGTACACACATGCTATATGTGCAATGGAAAATTCTAAATTGGTGGTGGGGCGGTGACACAAACTCAGTCAAATTAAGTGCGAGGAGGACGCGTTATAACAAGGAACCAATAAATATATCAAATTAGCACAATATTATATTCCAAGTTGCCTATACTTGAAAGAACACCCCAAGCACAGGGAGCGGTAGTTGTTATGGTTCTAGGAGTGCCGTGCAATGCCCCCTCCCATTGTAAGAGGTTAAATTGTTTTCAAATTACTTCTTACCTAGGTGCATCGTTCCCTACAATCATCTCTGGAGAACCAGAGTTTCCTAAGCAGAAACTTGTGTTAACTCTTCTTACCTAGGACTTAAATTGCTTATTTAATTGGCTTAGAGTGTCAGCTGATTGCTTTTAGCCAATGAGATAAGCCCTTCATTGCAGGGCCTAGTTCAGTAGAGCTAATGGAACTTCCAGAGATGGTATTAGTGGCGAGGACGCTAAGGAGCAGTGCCCAGCTGACTCCACATTATATTAGGGGGACACAATAACCACTATATTGACCTTTAGTTAGTTATGGAGCCTGTAGTGTTTCTTTAACACTTCCATGTTATCATTGTTAACCCCTTAAAGGACCACTATAGTGCCAGGAAAACATACTCGTTTTCCTGGCACTATAGTGCCCTGAGGGTGCCCCTCCCGCCGGGCTCTGGGGAGAGGAAGGGGTTAAACATTCACCTTTCTCCAGCGCCGGGCGCTGCGCGCATTCAGCCAGTCTCATAGGAAAGCATTCATAATGCTTTCCTATGGACGCTTGCGTCTTCTCGATGTGAATTTCACAGTGAGAAGCACGCAAATGCCTCTAGCGGCTGTCAATGAGACAGCCACTAGAGGCTTTAGAGGCTGGATTAACCCATTTATAAACATAGAAGTTTCTCTGAAAAAAAATGGGTTAACCCTATTACCCCATTAAGCTGAAGTGGTCTGGGTGCCTAGAGTGGTCCTTTAAGGACAGAGCTTCGGAAGCTTGTCTTTCATTTAATGACAAAAATTTTTGCTGTTTGCGTTCAACTGCAATTTGCATTTTACAAATTTATTGCACCGACACATATTATATACTGTTTTTTAAAGGATAGAAAGGGCTTTAATTTGATGTAAGACATATATATATAAATGCTTATTTATTATAAAAAAATACAGAAAAATGCAAAAAAAAAGAAAAGAAATTATTTGTGTTTTTTTACAGTTTTTGCAATAATAATGTGTGCATAATTATTGCAGGTTAAGGAAAGTAATTAAAAATAAATTCATTTAGTTGTTCTGATTTACAGAATATATAATGTGTCTGGGATTTTAAGGTTTTTTTGGTAGTTACAGGTCACAAAGCACAAGGAGTAAAATAAACTTTTAATGTGGAGCGATTTTAGAATTTGGTATGTTTGTCTTGTAAGCTTAATAGCCATAAAAGAAAACAAAATTGCCACACAAAAGTATATATTTATATAAAGTAGACATCACAGGCTATTTACCTGAGGTTGTTTTGACACTTTCTACGTAGCCATTTAACCACCAACCTCTGCTAAATATTGCAGTAAAATTATGTTTGTTTTTTTTTTTTTTTGGCACACAAACTTATAACAAAGAAATTGTCATGTATTTTGTAAAGTTGGTGTGTGCTATTCCTGTACAAAGTTTTATTTTGTATTCAGTTACATCTGCTGAGTAAAATGACACCCCCATTGTATGTCTTTGGCACTATTTCGTGAAGTTACAGTGCCATATAGGAGACCTGTCCTTTTCAGTATTCACAGTAGAATTTTGAGAGACGGATTTAATGAGCCTATGCTTCCATTTGGGGTATTATAACAGTATGACTGTTCAAAAAAAAAAAAACCCACAAAGGCCTACCATTTGTAAAAGTAGACACTCCAGGGTATCTCATAAGGTGCCTTAACATGCCCCCATTTTTTCACCAATATATGCCAAAGTATGTGGTAAAAAATAATTTTGTGCGTTTTTTACACATGGATTGCTGGGCATTTTGTATATTTCACATGTACCACTAAGTTCAAACCCTCCAAATTATGCTCAGCTAAGTCTTCTGAGTAAAAAGACACCCCTAATGAATGTCTTTGGCACTATTTTGTGAAGCTATAGTGCCATATAGGAGACCAAGCCATATCAGTTTTTACCGAACTTTGAATTTTGACCCTGGGCCTACATGCAATTACCAAGCATCTTAGCAGGGTTTAAATTCAAACTACCCCACAAAGGCCTACCAATAATTAAAGTAGACACCCCAGGGTATTTCAAAAGGTATATTTTGAACCTTAGCGTGGGATCATTTTTCCACTAGCTTGTACCAAATTTAGTGGTAATAAGCGTTTTTTCTGCCTTTTTGACACACAACGTGAGTTTGCACAGTATATTTTGCAAACCTTATGTGTGCTACCACTGTATAATACTTCATATGTTGCTCAGCTATGTCGGCTGAGTACAGCAATACCCCCGTATGTACCTTTGCCAGGTATATGTGGACATCGGAGGGGCACAGCCATTCTTGATTTTTTCAATCTTTACATTTTTACGCTGTGCCCATGTCCCATTTTAGAGTATTTTACCAGGCTATATAATCCAAATACCCCATAAAGCCATACCATTTCTTAAAGAAGACATCCCAGGGTATTTCAAAAGTCATATTTTGAACCTTAGCGTGGGATCATTTTTCTGCTAGCTTGTACCAAGTGTAGTGGTAATGAGCATTTTTAAATGTATTTTTTTACTTTTGAAAACTTTTTTTACTTTAAAAAAATAGTTTTTAAAACTTTTGTTTTGCTTATTATTTTTTTTTAAACTTTCTTAACTTTTTTTTACAGATTTAAAATTTTTCTAAGCTTTTTTTATTTTTACCGTTAACCACTAACTAGCAGCAAGCAGCACTAACAGTAAATTCCACATTTTCCCTTAACTCCCACCCACCCCAGCTAGCAAAATTTATAATTATAAAATATTTAAATTAATAAATAAAAGTTAATCCTCAGGGGTTAAAAAAAATTAGATCACACTATAATACTGTGATCTGTATTTTGATCACTGTAGGCAGTGATCGACTGGCAGGGAAGGGGTTAATTTTTATTTGGACTGGGTAAAGGGGGGTGTTTTTTATTATTTTTTACTTAAACGTTATTAAAACTTTTTTTAGCTTAATTTTTAACGTTTATTTTAAAACTTTTTTTAACGTTAACCCCTAGTTAGCCTAACACCAAATCTTACAATTCCCCACTAACTTCCACCCACCCCAACTAGCTAAATATATAATTGTAAAATATTTAAATTAATTAATCAAATAAATTGAAACCCTGAGGGTTAAAAAAAAAAAAAAAGAATCAGTTGACAGTAAAATGTAATCCCTGCCCACTGATCACTGTAGTCAGTGATCAATTGGCAGGGAAGGGGTTAATTTTTTATTAAAATGGGTAAAGGGGGGTGGGATTTTAAATTAACTTTATTTTATTTTTTACACAGGGGGCAGGATCATCCCTGTTACGGGGAGGCGGAAGGTAAGTATACTGAGCACATGTGCTCGCTCTGACAGGCTGTCAGAGCAAGCACATGTGCTGGGGCAGCGAGATAGGGTGCTCCCGGTCTGCCTCTAATACAGAGGCAGACCGGAGCACCATTAACCCCACGATCGCGGTGATCTGGGTTAATTTTAACACGTGACGGACAAGGTCCGTCACTCGTTGTTATGGCAATGCCCTAAGTGACGGACCTCCTCCGTCACTCGTCATTAAGGGGTTAATGTCATTCAATGTTGACACTGTATTGTTGCTTCGGAAAAAGGGGTGTTATAATGGCAATGTCATTTCAAGGATATAATTTTTCAATGTAGGGCAATAGCTTCTTGATCCAAGGATTAACCCCTTAAGGACGGAGCCAAATGTACACGTTGTGAACGAAACAAAATGTAAACAAAACCTGGCATTTGCGCTACATGTCTGTCCAACCGTAATACACCTCTTTCATAGTAAATGCACCCACCCTTATTATATATCATTTTATTCAGGGGAAATAGGGCTTTCATTTAATATCAAATATTTAGCTATGAAACATAATTTAATATGAAAAAATGGGAGAAAATAAGATTTTTTTTATTTTTTTAGTTCTACATGACATTTTAACGGTCAGTGTCATAATACTGTTTGCTTTTACTGCAATAAAATACACATATTTGTATTCAGCAAAGTCTCACGTGTAAAACAGTACCCCCTATGTACAGGTTTTATGGCGTTTTGGGAAGTTACAGGGTCAAATATAGCACGTTACATTTGAAATTGAAATTCGCCAGATTGGTTACGTTGCCTTTGAGACTGTATAGTAGCCCAGGAATGAAATTTACACCCATAATGGCATACCATTTGCAATAGTAGACAACCCAAGGTATTGCAAATGGGGTATGTCCAGTCTTTTTTAGTAGCCATTTGGTCACAAACACTGGCCAAAGTTAGCGTTAGTATCTGTTTGTGTGAAAAATGCAAAAAAACGCCAATTTTGGCCAGTGTTTGTGACTAAGTGGCTACTAAAAAAGACTGGACATACCCTGTTTGCAATACCTTGGGTTGTCTACTATTGCAAATGGTATGCCATCATAGGGGTAATTTTCATTCTTGGGCTACCATAGGGTCACGAAGGCAACGTAACCAATCTGGCGAGTTTTAATGTGAAAAAAATGAAACACAAGCCTTATATTTGACGCTGTAACTTTTGAAAACACCATAAAACCTGTACATGAGGGGTACTGTTGTACTCGGGAGACTTCGCTGAACACAAATATTTGTGTTTCAAAACAGTAAAAAGTATTGCAGCAATAATATCATCCGTGTAAGTGCTGTTTGTGCGTGAAAAATGCAAAAAACTTCACTTTTACTGGCGATATCATTGTTGTAATACATTTTACTGTTTTGAAACACTAATATTTGTGTTCAGCGAAGTCTCCCGAGTAAAACAGTACCCCCAATTTACAGGTTTTATGGTGTCTTGGAAAGTTATAGGGTTAAATATAGTGCTAGCAAATTAAATTCCCTATACTTTCGGCATGGGTTGTCAGGCAGGTCCCGCTAATTGTAATTAATTAGGATACCTAATTATGTAAAAATATTACATAAATATATGTGTAGAATTAATATATGTATATATATACATATGTGTATATATACATATATATATATATAATTTTTTAAAATATTTTTATTTATATATAGGTGTATATATTTAGTGATATATGTATATATTTATGTATATAGATATATATATTATTTCGTTCTACGTGTATTTTGATATAAATATATATATATATTAATATCACAATACAGTTAGAACGAAATAACAAACATCTATATATTTTTTTATTATTTATTTTTAATTATTTTTTTAATTTTATTTTTTTTACGTATTTACATTTTTTTATCTTATATATAAATATATATATATAACAATAATTATATATATATATATTTAATCAATATTAGTCTACGTGTAATTTGATAGTAATATATATATAAATAATTATATATATTAATATTTAAATACACTTCGTGTATGTGTAAATGTGTGTGTGTGTGTGTATATATATATATATATATATATATATATATACTTAGATCATATATATATAATATATATGATCTAAGTATATTTTATATGTAACTGTAATTTTTTTTTAACTAATATTTTATTTTTTTTACAGGAGAGGGGGCAGAGACAGTGTCAGCCAGTGATTTTACATCACTGGCTGACACACAGGATCAGTGATCACAGTGACTGCCTGTCACTGTGATCACCTCCTGCAGATTGGGTAATTGGCCACAGGGGGGAGTGCCTGGGTGGTACAAGCACTCCCCCCTTCCAATCTGCAGGGGGATCTTTGTGCCAGTTACATGTGTCAGCCAATAGGCTGACACATGTAACACTGATCGCAGTGACAGGCTGTCACTGCGATCAGAGCGCTCTGAGATCGCAGTGACAGCCTGTCACTGCGATCTCAGAAGTGCAGATCGCGGTCACTGACCCCAGGGGGACTGCCTGGGGGGCCAGGTAAGTCCCCCGACCGCGATCTGCACGGGGTAGCCGCTGGCCACGTGTGTCAGCCGATTTGAAATCGGCTGACACACGTTAAAAACTGATCGCAGTGACAGCCTGTCACTGCGATCAGTGACTGCAGATCGCGGTCACCGGCCACAGGGGGGGTTGCCTGGGGGGCCGGGCATCCCCCCCGACCGCGATCTGCAGCGGGCGACTAGCGCCGGCCACGTGGGCGGCCATTAAAGTGAGGGCGTACTATTACGCCCGCCGGCGTTTAGAGCCGGCTCCTGCAGGGCGTAATAGTACGCCCTCCGTCCTTAAGGGGTTAATCTGACTGCCATTCTGGGGTCAAGAAGGAATTTTTTCCCTAGTTTGTTGCAAAATTGTAAGTGCTTCAAACTGGTTTGTTTTGCCCTCTTTTGGATCAACAGCAAAAAACATAAGTGAAGAAAGCTGAACTTGATGGACGCAAGTCTCTTTTCAGCTATGTAAGTATGTAATGTACTATAAAATGGAGGGCGGTAGTTCTCACCCCCATCTACTGTCTGTTCAGGTATGTACTATCCGTTATAAGATGTAATAGCGACACAAACTCAGCTGCAGTTTCGCAGATAGTGACGACAGACCAGCCAGAAATAACAGTAGACCATCTGACAGAGCTGCATCTTGGACACTGACGTGGTGGTGATCACTGGGTTACTGGACGTAAAAATCTGGTTCGTTAACAATGCTAACTCAGGATCAGGGTGTGTAATTGCTGCCACTACGGACATAGTGAAAATACTTTGCTGTTGATGATATATAACTATTTTATATATTCTATTCAGAGTCACAAGATGGAGCTTGTCAAATATTGTTGTGCTTGTTAAATTTGACTATTTTTTTCTTATCTGTTGTGGTGTCTGTCTTTTTAAAAAACTTGTTCAGCAAAAAAAAAACAAAAAAAACGTGTTTTTGAGAAAATACTTTGTTTCATATTTTCTTAAGTGCAGTAGAAACACCATAACCATAACAGTCCATTATAGTGGCCGTCTTGCTAGTAGCTATGGTTGCTGTTCTATAGTTCTGTAATTTATAAAACTCGTGGGATCACAAGACACCAGTGGCCCAGCCACCTGCTTAACATATTGCTAATGTGGAATTTACACCTCTGTATTCGCAATGTCATGTCTGTCCCATAACTGGCTGAGTGCGGCAAAATCAGTTTAACACAGAACCCATAACCTTACTAACACCATAACCACTACAATAGGCTGCACTGGTGGTACATGGATAACCCCTTTAAGTATAGGGTAGCATTATGTAATTCCAGATTACAGTTGTGCATATTTTTATATTTCATTATTGGATGAATGAGACCAGGTACTGTACATTAAATAAATGTTTTTTTTTTTTTTATTTGAGTACACGGACGCTTTTATATTAAATGTATATTAAACACCCATTCCACATAGATATTATGAGTAAAAGCCAAAACTATGTTGAATTGGTTCTACCTCAACTCTTTTTAGAAAGAATATGATGAGAAAAAAAAATATTCAGTGTTGACATATCTGTGTTGAAAATACAGAAGATCTTAATATGTACTTTATTTTAGAAAAACCCTACCCAACCATTATGTCAAATTATATATCACTCTGTAGCAATTTCCAGCTATTTCATGGTTAATATATTGCCATGTGATGTATAAGAGAACATAGTAATTGTTAAATAAATAATTAAATGAGCACTATAGGGTCAGGAACACAAACATATATTTCTGATCCTATAGTGTTAATACTACCATCTAGCCCCCCTTCGCCCCCTCTTGCCTCCATAAATACAGTAAAATCTTACTTGTATTCAAGTCTGCAGCTGCAAGCTCTGGCCCTGTTGACTGTGAACTGCCTCAGTCTGCTGGCATCATCAGAAGTGGTGGTCTAGGCCAATCACAGGAATAGCTCCAAAGGTTTAAAATTGTTACATTTATCTTTTATGTATGATTGGTACACTTCATGACAAAAGTAAAAACATAAACTGATTAATTCAGTAGAATGTGTATCTGGCCATTATTAAGTTTCTGGTTTTTGTTTGTTCCGTTATTAGCAATTTGACTTAATTTTAAAATGTACATTTCTCTTAATGCATTTTATTTGCACGTGTATTTGTTTTTGTAAGTCTTTCGTTGCTTTATAGTTTTAAAAAGAAAAATATATGGAAGGACAAAACATTTTTATTTATTTTTTTCTATATTCCAAGTACACCTGCTTCTATAAGATACACACCACAATCATTAATTATTTGGAAATCCTTTACTGAAAGGAATTTTGCAAAGCACAATGGTATGCAAGAGAAAATATGGAACTTCAAATGTGTATATTACACATATACACAATAACATCCCAGCATTCTCATTCCCAATGGAAACTCTGATCAGTTCTAACTTAAATGACTACTTACTGTTTTGGTTCTATAAGTCGTTGTTCTTTTAAAACATGTCATGCTTGTTTTTTTTTTTTTATAACCGGGTAAATAGACGTTATGTGAACACTCTGGATAACATAACAGCTTCATCACAATGAAGTTGTTATGTTTCTTGGAGTAACTGTTTTTACCCATAGTTTTCCTTTTAAGCATTAGCTGGTTAGATTCATCGTTCATTTTGGCTTTTTGCTTTAATATCCCCTAATTCCATCTCTAATCAAATGGCATCCTCCTCTTTGTGTTATCTCAGATTTGATTTGATGGGACCAGGCGCTTGAAGAATTCCTGCAAAACTGTCTCAATTTATACATTTCCTACTATCAATTTCAAACCTTTTTTTATTTTATTTAACGCTATACTGAGTGCAGGGGTGACATATCTCTTATGGACATGTATTCCATCAAGGAAACCTTTGCTGCAGACATGTCAAAGATTGGAACCAATTCTAACTAAAGTGCCATCTCTTCGTCACTTGGATCCAGTCTCCCAGAAGGATTACTGTTGGACACCACCACAGCTACACCCACCTTTTCTTATTCAAGAATTGGTGTACTTTTGTTATCATGAAAAAAGAATAAAAAAAAAAAAACTTAACTGTGTTTAGTAAACTCAGAGATTAAATATATAAATCATTAGACTAAATTAAAACGCTGGTATTTTTTCAAGTTATTCTCATGAAGAAATTGCATAACTCCAAAATATACTTCGAATTTTTATACTGCATTATGTTACAAGTTACCTGAAAAATAGAGCCATCACACAAATTTGACTGACCGAGTGGTTGAGAGATATCCAATCGCTTAACAAGACGTGATTTTGCAATCCTACAATCAATTTTCAATTGACTTCCTTTTATATCCTATTGGGAATGGCTATGAACATACTAAATAATGCCTAATAATACCGAAGCCATGGGACATTTTACAACTCTAGCTGTTTCAAATGCAGAGGTCAAAAGACACATCATAACATCATAAGGCCAATCATAACTGTTCTTGGGATGCCCTCCGACATGGACGTTTTAGAACACAAATCAATGCTTATTTATGGACTCATAATCTGTTACAATCCGAATTTCCAATGTAAAAAATAAATATATACTGGTACTGCTGTGTGCTTATGAATCTTTGGACAGCCAGCCCTCATCCACTTCTTTAACTTTGTTCATGTTTAACCCCTTAATGACACATGACATGTGTGACATGTCATGACTCAATTTTATTCCAGAAGTTTGGTCCTTAAGGGGTTAAACTCACCTTTTTCCTCTCTATTGGCTGTACACACTGACAAACAACGAACTTAATGTAAAATCGTCATTCTCCGCTGAAACCACGACCAGTCTCCCATCATACTACCCACCTTCAATGTCCTTTAAACAGAATCTCCAGTTTGTCTAATACCAAATTATTTTCCAATATATAAAGCATTTCGACATTTCTTTGGACATGCTTTTAAAGTGCACCTGTCATGATACACACAAGTCAATTCAATTTTAAAGAGAATTCAATTTAATCTGTACATTGTGTTTGCAGATTTTAAATTAGAAAAATAAAACTTAAAATGCTGACTTTTCCCCCACCTGGCATTGGACATGTTTGCTGGCTTCACATAGCGTCTAAAAACGAGACTGAGTGACAGGGAAAGCAAGAGAACCCTCCTTCAGGTGGTTCTTTTGGTACCTGTCACAGTGAATAAAGCCAGCAAGTTGATGTCAGCATGGAGCATGGCTCTGCTTGGAGAAGTATCTCCAAACAAGGCCAATCATAGCCAGCAGCACTATAACACCCATGGGGCTCCAAGAATGGGGTCACTGGAGAGTAAGTAAAAAGTTAACAGCTCCCAAAGCGCATAAATATATACATTTTCAGTATGATTAACCAAATGTTTAGCACCTTGAAATTAAGCAAAGGGCAAGGTAATTGTATTATTGGTATTATTTTAATGTTATATATTGGCGATTATGAAGTAGATCTGTCATAAACATACTCATTGAGCCTGTTTTCATGTGTGTTTTTATTTTTTTTAATTTTTTTTTACCTCTATGCAAAGCCATGAATTATTAGGTCATTTGTGGTTACAATTAATCTGTGGCTGCTTACACAATATGGGCCCAACTGTCTTCAATAAATCTCCAAACATATTAGATAATTCTTGCAGTGCTGGAAAGTGCTATTGGTACTGGGTCCTCTGCTGATTTTGGGCCCCTCGTTTGTTTGTGTTTTTGTACCTACCTCCCTTTTCCCATACATCAACTATTCATTTTAAAGGGGCCATATTCTGCATAAATATAGTCTGATCATTTTTGCCACAGATTATGTCATAATATTAACTAAAGTATTAATTGTGAAAGTTTACTAATGTACTTTTTTATTCTTGAAAAGTCTATGTCTGTAACAAATTTTCTAATAAAGATTTTTTTTAAAAAGCAATCAAATGTCCAAATTCTTTACACTAGCAAAAATATATAATTTTTTCCCTATAGAGTAACTGTATCTTTTTTTTTTTAATCTATAGAGTGCATGTTTTATAAGTGCACAATGGTATCAGCTAATATGTAGGATTGTTTTCTAGAGGATGACAGTAAAACCTAATTTAATATCGTGTGTACTAATTCTGAAATTCTAAAAAAAATGGTTAATTTATAAAGACTTGTTTACACATGCACCTATATTTAAATATACGCGTGGCATCTTAAACATTCCTCACGGGACCTTCAATTTTGTTTTAAAATCATGATTTCTGAAACGTTTCTTGTTCATCTTACCATGTGTTCCAAACTTCCAAACAACAATTCAGAGGGTCAACAAATGACCACTCAATGCACCATAATAACTGCTACAGTGGTTATACCAGGAGTGCCCTGAATCCTTTTCAGTGTAATTTCTTAAATTGTTCTTAGAACGGTTTGGCAACTTACTTGGATTGCACCGGGACCCAAGTAAGTAGAATCAGTTTAGCTCCTTTGCACTCATTGGATAAGAATGTCGGCTGAGCTCTCTCATACAAACAGCGCAGTCCTGTGTCGATTGTACTGAGTTGATTAGGCTGAGCTGAGACAAGTGGCTTTCCCTGTAGGCAATGACCAGATTGGAGCAGAAGCCTGGGGAACCCGGTTTACTTGGCAAACCATTGTAAAATGGTTTGACAAATACATTGGGATGAAGCCAGGGCACCCCTAGCACCATAATCACTACAGCATATTTAGTGGTTATAGTGCTTAAAGAGTTCCTTTAACATTTCTATATAAAGTAAGTACTCTGTATGCTGTAATCGACACAGCATTAAAATGTAAAGAACAAAATGAAGAGAGAGGGAAACAGCTATCTAACAGTACAGTAGATGTGATACAGCTCACAAGCTTTCATAATATTATGGTCTAGAGACTGGTTAGACTCAAGACATTTTGCTGCTCAAAAGCTTACAGTCTAGATCAGTCATGGCTGAACGTAGCACACCAGAAGTCTGTTAACTACATTTCAGAAAAGTTATAATATTTGTTATCACTGATCCAGAGGGAGATGGATGAAACAAGGTATTGCCAAAGGCCATTGAGATATTTGCACAATAGCATTAAATAACTTATGGGTAAACTAGAACCAGCCCATATAATTGCCCAGTACAGGCAACGTTTCAGGTGTAGATCTAACACATGGTAGGAGTATTGCATATGGTACAAGATATCAGAGATACGATATAGGGCGTAGAAAGGCAAACTGTCGTGTACTGTATGCTTATCCTGTGTGTCATGGAAGGTGAGTGGAGCCAGAATATGATGACATGAATTGAATTCGACTTTATTAAACGGCCCATAGTCCTACGCAGATGTAGTATTCTAGATATAGCAGGTGAAGTAAGGGGGGGGTGCAGTATCTAGGTCCAACGGGGCAAGTTAGACGTATATAGGCAAGAGCCAAGATGTAGGCTGGGCTGAGCTGGGCTAATAAGTGCTCTCCTAGATTTAGGCAAGTATGTGAGTTAGTGTTGTCATGACAGAGGGTCATATATTATAGCTAGAGACTGAGACTCGCAGGTTTCGCATGCATCTCAAACAGTTATGTACCCACTATTAATGCAAAGGGTTGAGACATGCAGGTCTGATTACGCAGTTATATTATGGAGGGGATTCGCATGTCCCAAGTCGAACATTAAGTACACATGGCACCAGGTAATGTCAAGCGGCTTCCAAAGCTCTATATTACTTATGAGTATATGTTTATGAACCCACCATTCACCTAATGTGCTAAAGTAACAGTAAGTCTATATCAGTGTATAATCGGTCTGTGGGCTTGCAGGGCCTACTACGTGAGTTAGATGCATTGTCTTTTTGTGGGACACCTAGGTCCCTTTACAGGGTTGTGAAATTGTTCTACCTCCCCACCCCTCCTCGGGTCAAGATCGGTAATTCTGGTTATCTGTGTTTTATATTGCTTATAGATGTGCTATGCATATCTCCTGTTGGCCGACAAGCGGCATGACTAGGGAACGTTGGGGTGCAAATGCAGTCCCGCAGTACCTCGGTGTTTGGCTGCGTGGAGTGATATCCCAACTGTATTCCCTTTGAGGTGGGTAATAGTTTGCAGTGGGTGTTCTTCCCCCACTCCCTCTTCCCTTCTTGGTCCCTCCTCACCCATTTTGTGACCTAAGTTGGAGACCGCTCACTTGCATCCCGGTGGAATTGGTCCCAGTGTTGCGCGTTCTCCCCCCCCCTTGTTTGTCCATCCAACCCGAAGAGACAGTGGCGGGTGGCCAAAGGTGGGTCCCATGGTCATGTTATGAGGGTCCCCCCCGCAGTCCAAAGTCAAGGTGTGTGCTTTCACTGTCTAGTCTATCCGTCTTTTTGAGAATGTGTGACTTATCATAGTTTGTGGTGATAGTCCTGTGTCTCTATGCTCCCTGCACCTCACGTCTCACTGTGGCAATATAGTGGGTCAATCAGTATAACAGGGTCGGGTATCCCCATAATGTCTGTAGCATGGGAGAAACTGAAGTTCAGTGTGAAAGCGGAGTGAAAGAAAGTCAGTCAGGTAGTAAGAAGGTCGAGGGCAGTAGTCCTAGTGCGGAGGGCACCCTCTCCCCCCTAACTCCCGGTCCCTGCCAGATCCCACTCCTCTTTTAGCAATGTATTCTATTCATGGTCTCCACAGATCAACATCCCACTACTGATGGCCTTATGGCCTTAGCTTAGTAAATCTCTTCTATTTGTTCGTACCAATGTTCAAGTGTCTGAGTCTGGGGTTGTTTCCAGAGATCGGGCACTAGGGCTTTTGCTGCATCTAGCATGTGCCTCAAGATAGATTTTCTTGTATTGTGCGATTGGAATCGGCGTAGAGTGCAACAAAAATTGTTCCATGGTTAAGGTGGATGTGTTACCTAGGATATCTGCCATTTTAGCATTTAACAAGTCCCAGAATGGCGTTATGCCAGGGCAGTCCCACCATATATGTCTGATAGTCCCTTCTCCCCTGTTGCATCTCCAGCAAGTAGCCGGGACGGTCGGGAAGATCCTGTGTATGAGAGTCGGGGTTTTATACCACTACAACAGAAGTTTGTAGTTGACTTCTTGGTATCGGGTGCTTACCGATGAATTATGATATAGGATGAGTATCTTTTCCCATTGGGTGTGAGTGATCATCATTCCCGTGATATGTTCCCACTACTGTTTGAAAGTGTGTCTTTCGGAGAGGCCTCCCACTAAGACATATTGGTATAGGAACGAGATCGCCTTGGTGAGAGTGGTGTTGTTCAGGCATAAGGGTTAGAACAATTTAAATCCATTTACAAGCACTGAGAATCTTTGCATTAATTGACATTACGTTCTTAGATGGGAAGGGGTTGAGGAATCTCTCCCAATGAAACCACTTGATAACCTAAGAGGTTTCTTCATCCCACAAGGAGGTTTCAAAACTAAATTACTAATAATGTACGTAGCATTAACTAGGTGACACATTCACAATACCTTTTTTAATATTAGTTCAAACCTCATGTTTGTAGGTCATTTCACTGGCACGTTGATGGATACTTTCATCCTTCTGAGTTTGCTAAAATAAGAAACATTGAGTGTAATATCTATGCACTTCTGAGTTTGGTTAAAACAAATGTATCTAGTGGCGATACTAGAATGGGGCGTTAGCTTAGAATTTGAGATTTTGGTAACAAGTTAATAAGAATTTTTTGATATTTAGATAACATTTCAGAATCCATTTAGGTAAGGTGGCACCTTTGTTCTTTATTTATTAGTTCATGGGATTGTTTTATGAACTATTTTTATTTAAGGAACTATTTTTATTTAAATCCAGCTATTCATGTTTTATAGATACTATCAATCAGAGAGGGTGTTACAAGCTGTCGATATGTAACTGAGATATTATGTTGTAATACGAAGCACCAGCTATACCAGGGATGTTGCTAAGTTCAAATATTAGCATTTGACATATAAGTTAAAACATTGCCTGGAGCTTGAGCACAAACTAAAATTTGGTATCATTCTTCACACTTGAACCTTTTACCCTACAGGCTCCACCTCTCGATACCCAAGACTCTGACCCAGTTTGTCCCACCTAGACTCAAAACCTTGCTACGAGTCATCATGTCCTGTCTCCCCATTCTAGTGCCCCAATCCCCACCACAATTATAAGCATACTTTTCTGTTTTGGTTTGATGGTGTTATCTCCTTCTCTTCCAGCTGCCATCTATTTTATAAAAAACTGGTAGGATGGGTTTTCTACTCTTCAGCAATGATAGAGAAAGGAATTGTTTATTGGGGCAAAGGACACCAATAACCCTAAAGCTTCCTCACAGTGCTCCTGATGTGGAGAATAGTTTAGAATGGAATTCAGTATGATTTAAAAGGAACAATCTAGGCATCATAAACGCTGTAGCCTTCTGTACTGGTTATGGTGACAGGAGTTTTCTGGCACTGTCCATCTGTATGTAATCAAACATTTTTGAAATGTTGATACATACTGCCCTGTGGCGCCTTCTTTTCTTTTCTGAGATATCTAGAGTTACTGTTACTCGTCCCCAATAGCTATATCAATGTTTTCCCTATTTGGGGATCTCTCAGACAATGAAGTCCATCTAAGCAAAACAAACCTGAGGTCAAGGTTACTGCAGTACCTGGAAAAGCTTAACTAAAGAAAATAGCCGTGGACTGTGCTGTAAGATTCTCACACTGTAGCTCCAACAGTGTACATCAATGTATACAGGAATAAAGAAAATAATAAGATCTGCACCAACAGATAATTTGTGCACACCACAGTGCTACCAACATGTATTTAAAGGACCACTCTAGGCACCCAGACCACTTCAGCTTAATGAAGTGGTCTGGGTGCCAGGTCCGGCTAAGGTTAACCCTTTTTTTAATAAACATAGCCGTTTCAGAGAAACGGCTATGTTTATAATAGGGTTAATCCAGCCTCCAAAGCCTCTAGTGGCTGTCTCATTGACAGCCACTAGAGGCGCTTGCGTGCTTCTCACTGTGAAAATCACAGTGAGAAGACGCAAGCGTCCATAGGAAAGCATTGTAAATGCTTTCCTATGAGACTGGGTGAATGCGGGTGCAGCTCCTGTCGTGCGTGCGCATTCAGTCGAAGGGGAGGAGAGGAGGAGGAGAGCTCCCCGCCCGGCGCTGGAAAAAAAGGTAAGTTTAACCCCTTTCCTCTCCCCAAAGCTGGGCGGGAGGGGGACCCTGAGGGTGGGGGCACCCTCAGGGCACTATAGTGCCAGGAAAACGAGTATGTTTTCCTGGCACTATAGTGGTCCTTTAAAGACAAAAAGAGTAGGCAAACGTTTCGGGCCTGTGCCCTTTATCAATGCAAATGGCCTTAAATACAAGATAATCCTCATCTCTAGATATAGACAAGACAATCAAGTAAATTAAAGTCCCTGGTGCTGCCCTCTAGAAGATAAGTGAAGGTGTGTGCCCCTTTTCAGCATTTCTCTGCCATCTTCTGGTACTCCCGACATCCGTAACAGTCACGTGATATGTTGCTGGGAAACGAGTAAACAAATGCTAATTTTAGTGCACAAATGGTTTTACAGGCTTCACTGGACTAATACGGCTACAATCTCTACATCTGGGTGGCTAGAACTTATTTTAAATATCTGCATCTCCATCTGTGTTCTGCATCCCAGCAGCCAGTACAAGTGCTTAGTGACAAGTATTATCTGTGATAAAATCCATTCATATTAATTGCTTAAAGGACCACTATAGTGCCAGGAAAACACTTGTTTTCCTGGCACTATTGTGATGGGCAATTGTGGGTATAATACACATTGCTACATTGTATTTCTTTAAACTGCAACTGTTTCTTTAACTAATAACCTTTTACCTATTTACAGTACACAACATGTTTACTCCATCTTGTCTTAATTTAATGCAATAACAATTCAAGGCTTTGCCTATGTCATCCTAACGTCTAGTCCAAATAAAGATTAAAGATGTCTAGGTTATGACATTAGACTTATTTTTTATATATGACCTTCTCTTAACCCTAAGGTGTATGTCAACCTAACTTCTAGTCCAAATACAGATTAAAGATGTCTAGGTTATGACATTAGACTGATAAGGGTGTTTTTCTTTTATTTTTATATATGAACTGCTTTTAACCCTAAGATGAATTAACCCATACATTACCAGTAGTAATTAGAAATGCTATACTATATATACATGCATGATCAATGCTAGATAGAGACATACTGACCGACTCTGGAGGTGACATACTGAGAGATTACCTGTATGATCAGGAGGGTATGTTATACTTATTATATTGCAAGCATTTATTCATTTAATCTTGTATACTCTGCTTTATGATATATTAATGGATCTTTATTCATTTATTCAATAAACTATATTAATAAGACAAAAGTTATTGCTTCCAACTCCTATTTTTATTGTATTCTCAATTATTTATGTATTTTAAATAGAGAAACTCTATACCGACTATACAATATTTTAGCTAAGATATCTGTATGGTTAGCCCTGCTAAATTCTAAGTTATAAGACGTTATAGCGGTAAATTGGAGTACGAACAGTTACACTATAGTGCCCTGAGGGTGCCCCCACCCTCTTTCTCCAACTTACCTCTTTCTCCAGCGCCGGGCAGGGAACTCTCCTCCTCCTCGCTGAATGCGCATGCGCGGAAAGAGCCGCGCGCACATTCAGCCAGTCCATAGGAAAGCATTCACAACGCTTTTCTATGGACACTGGCATCGTCTCACTGTGAAAATCACAGTGAGAAGCGCGGAAGCGCCTCTAGCGGCTGTCAATGAGACAGCCACTAGAGGCTGGATTAACCCTATTATAAACATAGCAGTTTTTCTGAAACTGCTATGTTTATAGAAAAAGGGGTTAATCCTAGCTGGACCTGGCACTCAGACCACTTCATTAAGCTGAAGTGGTCTGGGTGCCTATAGTGGTCCTTTAACTAACTTTAATGTAAATAAAAATCTAAAATGTAGCTTTTTTTAATGTCCATGTAAAATAGTCTTACAGGGCTATTTACTAAAGTGAGAATTCAAAATGGATTTAAAATTCAAGACCAAACTAGCTAAACTTGTAAAAAAAGTCTGTTAGCAATGTTTTTAGTTTGGCTATTCTGGCTTTAAATTTGAGATTGTTATACTCCTTTTCCCTTAAATTTTAATCTCTGCACCTTCTGGGAATATTATTACGTGGTTGTGAGTACAGTACTATTAAACATGTTTAGTTTTGGTTGATTCTGGTGATATATTAACTTGTCCCATTATTTTCATATTTGTTTGCAAACACTTTTACTTTATTTGCTAAATTTCTTGAAATGTTCTATAATTGTATAATTTGTATATAGATAAAGAGATGCTACAGTGGTCTGTTTTAATTTCTCTGAAACTGCTATGTTTACAGCAGGCAGGGTTAATCCTAGATGGACCTGGCACCCAGACCACTTCATTGAGCTGAAGTGGTCTGGGTGCCTACAGTGGTCCTTTAATATGACGTAACCACTTTTATTGATCATTAATACTATTTGGTTTATATTTAAATACATAGGTGAAATCTTAGACTAAAGCACGTAACATTTTTCTGAAACCAGACTTATTTTTCGGTGATTACCTATACAGAGATTTGTCTTTTCACAGCTCACGTAACTTCTTCTGTGGCAGTGACCAATGTCACACCTCAGCCAATTGTGATGCCAATGGCTTACGCAGCAGGATACCAGCCAGTTCCAAGCCATCCTATGCATGCCAGACCAGCAGACAAGGCCTGCATGCCCCCACCATATCCAGGTGAGGCCTCGTACCAGTTCAAGACACCCTGCTAGATATCATGTATTAGGTGAGTGTTCACCAGAACAGGTGTGCATTTTCACTGTTATATGTCAGAGTGCATACTGAAATTCTTACATTTAATTTCATATAGTTTATTACATTTAAACAATGAAATTAGATTTTAAATAAATGTAAGTTTTGCCAATATGAAATATATTTGTTCACACTTAAAAGAACACTCCAAACATCTAAAGCCCTTTAGTTTGCTGAAGTGTTTTATGTGTGAAGAGTGTGTACTTTTTTTTTGTTTTTAAACATAAAATGCTGATTTCAATGGAAATGTTTACACTTTTATAGAGTAACTTTGTTACACCCCCTTGACTTTCAAACAGAGAATAGGTCCTGTTACTTCCTGGTTTGGTTAGCTCAGTGGCGCTAAACTCAAGAGGCAGCAAATGCCCAGAGCACCTGCCTTGCAAAGACTTCATTGAGCTGCACTGGGAAGTCTGTGATTGGACAGCCACAGAAAGTCTGGGTGAGAAGGAAACGGCTTGCAATGGCTGTAGACAAACGATTTGTAGCTTTTGCAAACTGTTTTGATCAATACTGCCAATGAAAAAAATGCATAATTGACTATATAAATCAAATAATATCGGGGGATAAAATTAAATCATTTGAAAATTTGATACAAGAATTTTCATTACCTAGGAATGAGTGGTATAATTATTTAAGAATCAGAGGCTTTATTAAACAATTTTTGTTACACCGACCTATAGCGGGTATAGAAAATTTGATAGTTCTATTAAGAAATGAGAATGTACCGCAAATAGTTTCAAAGGCAAGGACTGCTCTTCTTCAACTTGTAGCACCAAATTTAAATATAAACATTCAAAAATGGAGTAAAGAGTTAAATGTACAGATTCTTAAGTCTGAATGGGATCAAGTTTTATACCAAACAAGTAAAATAATTCATTGTCTGAACCTTCTTGAGGTATTATTTAAATTAATGAACTGCTGGTATTTAGTTCCCACCAGATTGTCCAAAATGTATACTCCTAATTCCTCAATGTGTTGGAGATGCAATGATAAAGAGGGGACTTTTGGACATATATGGTGGGATTGTAGTAAGGTGAAAATTCTGTGGTTTATGGCTTTTGAATCATTGGAGTATATTACAGAAATAAAAATCCCTAGAGGTCATCATAATGGTCTATTTCACTTAAACTTGCAATCACTCCTTTTTAAGAATAAATTTATATATGTCCATTTCGTAGCAGCGACAAAAATAATAATTGCAAGGAACTGGAAGAGTAGTGCAAATTTTACACAAGCCCAATTATATTCACAAGTTCAATACCAATTAACCATGGAGGCCTTGGGACATCAGTCAATAAAAATCAGAGATGTTAGTAATTTCTGGAAAGAAAAAATGGAGAGTTTGGTCAAATAAAACCCTGGACAAAATAAATAGAATAGTTTTTTTACATCTTTTCCTTTTTATTATTTTAAGGCAGTGAAATAGAGGTGCCACTGATATACCCCAAGTAGAGTCTGTAATGCATATTTGTTTTTGTATGTTTGTTATGCACATCATGCTAATGAAGTTTGCAAAGCTAATTATTCAATATAAGTAATAATAAATAGTGAAATAGGATGACTATAATGGGTGATGAAACTCTAATTTTAGAGGGAAGGCTGGATAAAAATTATGTCATGTACTGTTTCTGTTATATGGTACTTGGATTAGTTTAAGGAAATAATATTATTGAGTAAAGAAATGGGGAATAAGCAATAATATTGTATAATATTTAATGCGTATGTATATATGTAATACCATATGTCTTATCTAACAAGTGCTAAATGCTTATATTTTTATGACTTTTATATTAGTATGATGATGGTAATGTCTTGTACGTCTAAGTAAGAAAAACGAAATAAATAAATTATAAAAAAAAAGAAAAAAGAAAAAAATGCATAATTAAATGAATGCATGTTTTCATTGGGATATATCTACTAAACCGTGTTTTAATTGTATTTGAAATGTATGTGTATTTAACATTAATACAGGAAGTTTATAGGAGGGTACCAAAGCAGAATCATATAGCGTGAGCAACACATGGTAAAATGGGCAGCTGAGACTGGAAACCCCCAGGTGAAAGTTCCAGTTCTGTAATGAGATTTAATTTAGATCTCATTCGATTTTTATCATCCTATTGTATATAGATCAAAATAAAGCAGAATGTTGATATATCACTGCACTATATGTCTAACAGCCATCGTTTATCTCAGATTTTGTCTCTTGCAGGTGCAGACAACATGGGTTATGTTGAGAATCCCTGAAATGGAAACTCCCACTGGAACTCATTACAACAATCTGATATCACTGTACTGTTCAATATAGGGAGAGGGATATTCTTATTTTTTTTCCAGACTTAACTCAAAATGTTGTACTGTTTCTTTGGTGTATAGTTACTTGGCATGGCTAAATCTTATACTGCAATATGGGTTGCAGTACTCTGGCCCTGTTCATTAGAGCAGTGGTCCCCAACCCAGGCCTCATGGACCAGTAAGATTTATGTATTTCCCTTTTTTATTCAAATGGAGATACTGACGAAACCTAAACTCAAGGATGGAAATGATCTCCATTCTAAAATCTGGGAATATTTACCTAAAATACCGTATTCCCATGTTTCACGGATATTCTGTAATCAGTAAGTGGAAAGGATGTCCCAGCCAATACCTGATGTCCCGTTGCCTACTATGGTAAACGCACTGCATATGTATGATATTAAACGTGCTTGTGCTGTGCTTTCGTAAACGAAATCAGAGCTGTACAGTAAGCATTAGTGGGAGTCAGTTGTTACAATATTGCGCAATCCACTCCCAGTGTTTGTGCAGTATTTAAGCTAAAGCCGGGCTGTACATTTTGTACAGCTTGTATAGCAAAGAGATAGTGTTCTAACTTTGACTCAATCTGTATATATAATGTGTGTGCATATATATACATTGATCATAATGGTAAATGTTGTGCTCCTTTAAACCTCATCTACCATATCCAGACTGTGAAAATGTGCAGACCTGGTGGATCCCGAGAACTCATTTTGTTAAGATAAATCTTTTGAGGGCCGGAGATAAACTTTGCTGTACAGTGCATTTAATACACTTGCAGCACTGCCAATGCATCATTTCAAGTTTGAGTGCTCCATTTCTTGCAGTTGTTTGAATTCAAGGCCTTTTAAAGAAATGTGACGTGTTTATCACACAAGCTGTAGTCCTGAATGCCTTAGAAGCAACACTGAAAGAGAAGTGCTTAAAATGTGGGTCTACACCATCTAAAGGTTCCAAAGAGGTTGTTAGACTGTTGTTAGACTGTTTTCACTTTTTTACATGTATGCTGTATAACTTTAGTGTGCTAGTTAATGAGACTGAAACTGCTTTTTGATTATACCACGGGTGTACTTTTTTAATTAAAATGAACAGCATTGTTTCTGAGTGGTTTATATTATTAAAAGGAAACTATAGTCACCAGAACCACTACGGTTGTATTTAGTGGTTTCAGAGAAAAGGAAGTGTTTACATTGGTGCCTAGTAATACCTGTAGTGACAGGCACTCAGACAGCCACTAGAGGTACTTCCTAGTCCAGCGCTGCAGTGTGCAGCACTGGCATTCAGTGACACTGAACATTCCCCATAGAGATGCATTGATTAAATGTATCTCTACGAGGAGATGCTGATTGGCTCAGTGCTGTTTTTTTCTGCACATGTGCAACAGGATTAGGGAAAGCATATGGATTGGCTGAGATCATCAAGATAGTGTTGGGGTCAGCTGCAGCGAGACTAGCACAGTGAAAGGGGGGCTGATCACCTAAACAGCCACATGAGCACCATAGTGTCAGCTTTACATGTTCTTATTCCTGACACTATAGTGTTTCTTTAACCCCTTACCGACTGATGTATCAGGTACGTCCGACAAAAAAATGTACCTGATCTGTCCTTGGGTAATTAGAGCTCTGGAAGCGATCAATGTTGAGGCATCACTGTAATACCCCCTCGCTGCCAGGGGCCACTGGAGACCACCAGGTGATCTCCCCCCCTGGAGCAATCACTTCCGGGTTGCTCCACGTAGAGCCCGGCAGTGAGACAGAGCATCAGAAGCCTTCAGGCAGGCTTCTGATGTTCAGTGTCTACTGAGTGCCTCGAGGGATTGAGGCACTCAGTAAATAGTAAAAAAAAAAAATTAAACAAAATTAACCCCTAACCTCCCTCTCCCATCTATGTAGTTACCCATCGCCGTGCTCCCCCCCGACGATCGGTCTTCTTCTTTGGCGGACGCTCTGGACTGGGCCCAGAGAGTCCCCCCTCTTCAATTTAGGACCCCCAGGGGCCATATGACCGCTCTTAAAGGGAGGTCACATGGCCCCCATTGGTGTCCATAGTGCTGCCAGCAGGGGGACTGCCTGAACTGACAGCCAGTTCCCCTGCTGGTGAAAAAGTAAAATTAAAGTTTTAAAAAGTAAAAATATAGTTAATAAAATTTTTAAAAATTGTGTATATATATGTATACAGGAGATATATATATATATATATATATGTATGTATGTATATATAATACGTGTGTATGTATATATATATATATCATATATAATATCATACTAAGTGTATTTTTTATTAATATATACATATATTAATACAAAAATACACTTAGAATCAAATTACACACGTGTGTTTATATACTGTATTTTCCGGCGTATAAGACGACTGGGCGTATAAGACGACCCCCAACTTTTCCAGTTAAAATATAGAGTTTGGGATATACTCGCCGTATAAGACTACCCCTCTTCCAATGCACACCAAATAAAAATTAGCCATGATGTACAGTGAGCAGACAGAGCTACACAGCAAGACATTAAATAATGATAATCTGAAATAGCATTTAAAGCCCAGGTATGTGCCAGGCTGTTTGGGCATATAATCCATGCCTGCTGGTCTAGCACACAGGAGGCTAATTGCGATATATTCTTTTTACTCCCCCCCTCCATTCTTTTTACTCCCCCCTCCCCAATCCTCCCTACATTCTTCTCACCTCCCCTTCCCTGTGCAGAGTGGGTGGCCGAGCTCAGTGTGCACTTCCTTTCAGTCCGGCCGGGAACAGGTAACTGAATCTCCTGTACCGCGCGGTACCCGGCCGGACTGACAGGACGAAGAGGAGCTCGGCCACCCACTCTGCACAGGGAAGGGGAGGTGAGAAGAGAGGCAGTGCGGCAGCCGTCTGAGGGCTCTCTATAGAGTGCTCAGGCGGCTGCAGCAGTAGAAGGGTCGGCGATGGGGGCGCAGGGCGCCCCCGGCAGCCATATGGACCCTATACCCGGCGTATAAGACGACCCCCGACTTTGGAGAAGATTTTCCAGGGTTAAAAAGTCATCTTATACGCCAGAAAATACAGTATATAAATATTAACTATATATATATATATATATATATTGTATTATAAAAATAAATAATAATTAAAAATAAACTAAAAATAACTTTAAAGAAATTATATATATATATATGTATATATATATATAATTTCATTCTAACTGTATTTTGATATTTATATATATGAAAATCCACTTAGAATGAAATTATATATATCTATGTATATGCCCTTAACGAACGTGTACGTACTATGTACGTCCGACAAAAAAACGGTTGCTAAGGACCACGGACGTACCTAGTAATACCGCGGCAAATAAGAGCCCTGGACTTACCTGGACCAGCGATCACAGTCAGGGGGGACTGCCGGAGACCCCAGCAGTCCCCCTGCAGCATCTCTGGCCCTCTAGGACCATGTGATCACCATGATCACATCGCCGCAATAGGAGTCTAGGAGCTGCCAGCAGGGGGAATGTCTGAGCTGTCCCCCAGGCTGCGAAAAAGTAAAAAAAATATATATTATATTATAAAATAATTAAAATATTATACATATATAATGCATATATATGATATCATTATAAGTTTACTTTGAGATATATACACAAATATCTCAAAATACACTTATAATGAAATCTTATACATGCATTATAAATGTATAATATAAAATGTTTTAATTATAATATATTATACATATATAGGAAATAAAAGTGTGTGTGTGTGTGTATATATACACACACATGTATTATATGTCTGACATATATATACACATAGAATACAGCAGGAATTCAGCGCTAATCAACACACAATATATGCAGAATGGGCAGCAACCCAAGCGAAGGAAACCCCTCAAGTCCTTCAATGGATCAAAAACAACACAAAAAAGATGGAGTAGGGCTGCGCAAATACGAATAAAATGGTCTTAGAAAGGGTAGGAGGTCTCGCTAGAGTAGCAGTAGATAATCAGGGAAACTTTATAAGACGTATTCTCTTCAATGGGAGTGGATACGTCTCAGGGTGTTAGTTCATATATATGAAACAGAGAAGAGGCAGAAAGCAACCAATAGTGCAGTAAGTATCAAGAGGTAGAGAACTCACATTTAAAAGAGCTATGGCCAGCTCTGGTGTGAAGAGCATACAGCGGTATAATCCCTGTTTATGGGATGTGGGAAGATGTATCTGTCAGCACCATCTGGTAATCCAAAGGGAAGATAAAAGGCAACAATAGTGCTCTCAATTGTGATAAAATAGAGTATAAAAGAGTGATCAGAGTAATACTCACAAGTGTAGAGCAGAAACACTGCTCTATTGATATAGCGGTGGTATAATCCCTACCTCGGATTTCTTTTGATTAGTAGTAAAAAGCCAAGTAGCAAAGGAAATATATTATCAAATATATTTTAAAATGGTAAATAAAATTTAAAGGAAATTGGCACAAACCAGGTCTATTTGTCCAAAAGAATTCCTTTTCAGTAGTAAAAGTAAATATAAAACAGCCAATTATCTGTTTTGCCAGTGTGGCTTTCTCAAAATGGGATAAAAAAAAAAAAAAGATATGTTTGTGTGCATATATGTATGTGTGTATATATATATATATATATATATATATATACACACACACACACACACACGTATTTTATTTATATATATACACACACACACACACACACTGCTCAAAAAAATAAAGGGAACACTTAAACAACAAATGTAACTCAAAGTCAATCACAATGTTGTGCAAATGGGATAGACAACAGGTGGAAATTATAGGCAATTAGCAAGACACCCCCAATAAAGGAGTGGTTCTGCAGGTGGTGACCACAGTCCACTTCTCGGTTCCTATGCTTCCTGGCTGATGTTTTGGTCACTTTTGAATGCTGGCGGTGCTTTCACTCTAGAGGTAGCATGAGATGGAGTCTACAACCCACACAAGTGGCTCAGGTAGTACAGCTCATCCAGGATAGCACATTAATGCGAGCTGTGGCAAGAAGGTTTGCTGTGTCTGTCAGCGCAGTATCCAGAGCATGGAGGCGCTACCAGGAGACAGGGCAGTACATCAGGAGACGTGGAGGAGGCCATAGGAGGGCAACAACCCAGCAGCAGGACAGCTACCTCCGCCTTTGTGCAAGAAGGAACAGGAGGAGCACTGCCAGAGCCCTGCAAAATTACCTCAAGCAGGCCTGTGCATGTGTCTTCTCAAACGGTCAGAAACAGACTCCATAAGGGCCCGACGTCCACAGGTGGGGGTTGTGCTTACAGCCCAACACCGTGCCGTGCAGGCATTTGCCAGAGAACACCAAGATTGGCAAATTCGCCACTGGCGCCCTGTGCTCTTCACAGATGAACGCAGGTTCACACTGAGCACATGTGACAGACGTGACAGAGTCTGGAGACGCTGTGGAGAACGTTCTGTTGCCTGCAACATCCTTCAGCATGACCGGTTTGGCAGTGGGTCAGTAATGGTGTGGGGTGGCATTTCTTTGGGGGGCTGCACTGCGGCTGGAGTGTGTCAGCAGTTCCTGCAAGACAAAGGCATTGATGCTATGGACTGGCCCACCCGTTCCCCAGACCTGAATCCAATTGAGCACATCTGGGACATCATGTCTCGCTCCATCCACCAATGTCACGTTGCACCACAGACTGTCCAGGAGTTGACAGATGCTTTAGTCCAGGTCTGGGAAGAGATCCCTCAGGAGACCATCCGCCACCTCATCAGGAGCATGCACAGGCGTTGTAGGGAGGTCATACAGGCACGTGGAGGCCACACACTACTGAGCCTCATTTTGACTTGTTTTAAGGACATTACATCAAAGTTGGATCAGCCTGTAGTGTGTTTTTCCACTTTAATTTTGAGTGTGACTCCAAATCCAGACCTCCATGGGTTGAAAAATTTGATTTCCATTTTTTTATTTTTGTGTGATTTTGTTGTCAGCACATTCAACTATATAAAGAACAAAGTATTTCAGAAGAATATTTGATTCATTCAGGTCTAGGATGTGTTATTTTTGTGTTCCCTTTATTTTTTTGAGCAGTGTATTTATGTATTAATATAAATTGGAAAAAAAAAACATTTATAAAAAAACAAATAAAAACACTAACTTTGGCCAGTGGTTAATACAACAGACTGGAAATACCCCGTGTGGAATACCCTGGGCTGTCTACATTTTAAAATGGTATGCCATGATGGGGTTATTTCACATTCCTGGGCTACCATATGGTCTCAAAAGGCAACACAGACCCAGGAAACCAATCTGGCAAACTGAATTGGGCAAGCCCTGTATCATGTAAATGGGAATATTGTTATACTCTGGAGACATTGCTGAACACAAATATGAGTGTTTACAACAGAAAAATGTATCACGACGAAATCACCAGTAAAAGTGCAGTTTTTTGTGCAAAACAAATGCAAAAAACAAATATGAATGCTAACTTTGGCAAGCGTTTGTGGCTACTACAAAATACTGGACATACCCCATTTTGAATACCGTGGGTTGTCTACTTTTACAAATGGTATGCCATGATGAGGTTAATTTTCATTCCTGGGCTGCTATACGGTCTCAAAGGCAAAATAGGCTTAGCAAACCAATCTGGCAAATTTCAACTTATATACTTTTCAAAAATATATGGTTTGATGGGGTAAATTACATTGGCTGGCTTCAAAAATGTCCCAAATAGGACATGGGTGCATGATGACCAGCTGTGAAAATTCCAAGTTGGAAAACTGGAATGCCCACCCTCCAAGTAAGGTCTTTTAGCCCCCAGAGAACCTGACACACCTATATATATAGGGTATCACTGTAGTCAGGAGATTTTGCTGAACACATATTGGGGTGTTCCTTGGCAGTAACCCTTAAAGTTCTCAGTACATGTATTCTTAAATTGCTATGTGTGTCAAAAAAAATCACCAATTATTAAAAATGTTGATATTTGGCATAGATTGGTGGTAAAATGGTTGCATGAAAAGAGTCAAAATACCCCAAGTTTAATACCTTAGGTTGTCTTCTTTTAAAAAATATATACATGTGAAGGGTTATTCAGGGATTCCTGACAGATATCAGTGTTACAATGTAACTTGCGTTTATCTTTGAAAAAAATGGTTTGGAAATAGCAAAGTGCTACTTGTACTTATAGCCCTATAACTTTCCAAAAAAGAACATGTTAACATTGGTATTTCTAAACTCTGGGCAAAATTTAGAAACTATTTAGCACAAGTGTTTTTTGGCGGCTGCAGATGCATAACAAATTTTGGGGGTCAAAGTTCGAAGAAGTGTGTTTTTGTTTACTTTTTTCAATCATATTTTATATATTTTTATAGTAAATTATATGATATGATGAAAATAATGGTATCTTTAGAAAGGCCATTTAATGGCAAGAGATACGGTATCTAATGTGTGTGGGTACAGTAAATGAGTAAGAGGAAAATTACAGCTAAACACAAACACCGCAGAAATGTAAAAACAGCCCTGGTTCTTAACGGTAAGAAAATTGAAAAATGGTCTCTTCACGTCAGCCGGCTGGGGTGACCTTACGCGCAACTGTGTTAATGGCCGCGCTCGCATTAGGATTTCCCCATATGAAAGCATTATTCAAGTGCAGATTTCAATAGAAATTTACACTTTTATAAATTAACCTGGTTACACCCCCTGGCTTTCAAGCAGACAGCCGTCCTGTTATTTCCTGGTTTGGTTAGCTCACTGATTACCCAGAGCACATGCCTTGCAAAGACATATCATTGAGCTGCATTGGGCAGTCTGCTTGGAAGGAACAGAAAGTCTGGGTTAGAAAGGGAGAAGTTGTAAAGACTGCAGACAACAGAAATGCATGTTTTGCAAGCTGTTTTGAGATACACCCACAATGAAATAATGCATAATTAAATGTGTGTATATTTTTAATTTGGAGTAGTGATTTTTATTTATTATGTATTTGGCCAGTAAAGTGTCCCTTTAACAAAGCAGTTTTGGTGTATAGAAGATTCACCTGCATTCTCACTACTCAATTATCTGACATTAAGGAGTTTAAAATGCCTGTAGTATCCATTTAACAATAGTATTGTATTGGAAAAAACATGCTCTGTGTAAAGGAAATGTGCTTATAAGAATTTCTTGCAGTGCCTCTGTTCACTGTTCTTATTTATCTCTATGATGGGAGAAATTAATTATAAATATACCTACGCATGAAAATGAGTGATTATATAGTTATAGAATACCCATAACAAGCCCGGCGGTCCAGCAGCAAGCTCTTACTTACCTTCCTGGCAGCTCCCCTGTCTAAATCTTGCAAGTCCCGCGGCCGTCAGAGCGTTGCCATGGGTTACCATGGCAACGCTCCGTGTGGCATGCAGGCCGCGAGAGTTAGACAGAGGAGCTGAAGGGAGCTGCTGGGAAGGTAAGTAAGAGCTTGCTGGACCCCACTGCACAGTCCATGCCACCGGACTACCAGGGAATGCCATATCCCCCCTCCATGGCCAGGTAAGAAGCAGGGAGGGGGATTAAAAAAAAATATGTTTTTTAATATTTTTAAAAAAATGTAAAACACAAATAAAAATGTGTCCCCCCCCCATTTTACACACTTACCATACCTACACAAACACACACTGCATTATATAAACACACTACACAAACACACTCTGCATTCATTATATACACACACTAGACAAACACACTGCATTCACTATACACCCACACACTGCACAAGCTCTGCATTCATTATATACACACACACACTGCATTCACTTTACGCAAACTACACACTACATTCACTATACACACATAACACACTACGCAAACACTCACTGCATTCACTATACACACTACACAAACACACTGCATTCATTATATACACACTACATCCATACTACACAAACACACAGTGCATCCACTACACAAACATACACTGCATTTACTAATCAAATACTCTCACTGCATCCACTACACACACATATATTCTTAAAAACATAAAAGATTCTGACTGGCATGTATATTTTGTGCATTTACCTTAATAAAAAAATAAATAATAAACATGTTCAGTTAACAGTAGATTTGTGTAGAAAGTTTATTTTTTCAAAATGGTAAATGTACAGAATATCGGTAAGTTCTATTGGAGCAGCACGAAGATAGTCACCCTTACGCCAATCTCCATCAGACCCCAATGCTTCTCTGTGAAAAGCCCTGGATTAGCCTTAAAAATCCCTACTAGTGCGAAGAAATTCTCTAACAGCTGGATTAGAGGTAGTTTTAGGGGTACAGTGGGCCAGAAATCTACAGCAACAATTCAGCACTCCAGCATTATAAATAAATATTTGTTTACAATGCTGGTGCATTTCTCTAAATCTTTGAATAGATTTGCATGTGCCTTCCCTAATGAAGATATTTTATATCTAACCTTAACATTGTGCCTGCTTATTTATAAGTGCATTTCAGTGGAAGGTTAGCAGTAGACTTGTGCACAAACTAATTAAATGCCTTTTACCTTTGTGCCTTAATGAATCACATCTTCCAGGATTTATCTGTGGAGCCTTATTCACTAAACAAAAATTCACAGTTAAAGGGACACTATAGTCACCTGAACAACTTTAGCTTAATGAAGCAGTTTTGGTGTATAGAACATGCCCCTGCAGCCTCACTGCTCAATCCTCTGCCATTTAGGAGTTAAATCTCTTTGTTTATGAACCCTAGTCACACCTCCCTGCATGTGACTTGCACAGCCTTCTATAAACACTTCCTGTAAAGAGAGCCCTATTTAGGCTTTCTCTATTGCAAGTTCTGTTTAATTAAGATTTTCTTATCCCCTGCTATGTTAATAGCTTGCTAGACCCTGCAAGAGCCTCCTGTATGTGATTAAAGTTCAATTTTGAGATTGAGATACAATTATTTAAGGTAAATTACATCTGTTTGAAAGTGAAACCAGTTTTTTTTTCATGCAGGCTCTGTCAATCAAAGCCAGGGGAGGTGTGGCTAGGGCTTCATAAACAGAAACAAAGTGATTTAACTCCTAAATGACAGTGAATTGAGCAGTGAAATTGCAGGGGAATGATCTATACACTAAAACTGCTTTATTTAGCTAAAGAAATTTAGGTGACTATAGTGTTCCTTTAAATACTGGATGGATCGATTCACTCAGGTGCAGGTTAAAAGGAATTTGATTTGTCCTTGCCAGCTGAAACGAATTGTGCACAAGTCTAGTTAGCAATAGTTCCAAGAGTGATGTCTTGGGAAACAGTGCATATAAGAGGTGACATGTTTTATGGTACTCCTGTGTTTTTATAACATAAATATATTCTTAAAGTGTCACTATAGTTTTAAACCAATGTTTGCTTCAGCTGAGGCCAAAAGTTATTTTTCAAATACCCTTCAAACTCTGAAAAGAGACAAGTGTACATTTTAAAACACATTTTGTTTCACTTGTCTTGATTTACTAATTGCTGATCAGCTTGGTCGCCTGCTTCTTCCCAAATCCTAGTGCCTTTAAAAATATGAAGTTCTTTTTTACAAAAGGCATAAAATAGATTTCTTCACTTTAAAGCGGCACTGTCATGCCGAATCCTGTTTTTTTTTTAACCCCCCTCCCGCCTCCACTATCTCTAATTGACACCGTGGTCACCCCCAAATGCCCTTAAGCCACCCACATTACCTACTTTTTAATCTTTATTTTCTGCCCCGATCTTTATTCAGGGCGCCGCCATCTTTGTGTGGGTAGAGGAAGTCCCTGTGGGACACGTCATCTGCCCACACTAGACAGACTGTGAGATTCCCGCACATGCCCAGTGAAACACCTGGACATGCGAACGGGAATTTCATCTAATCATTCATTCATCAGACAGACGAATGAATGAATAGAAAAATCAGACGAACAAACTAACACTGTGTATCAGTGTTCATTTGTTCGTGCAGTTTATTACAAGGAGGGAGCTACCGGCACGCAGCTCCCTCCTTGTAATATGTAACTATAGAAGCGGCAGGGAGCAGTGCACCCCGCCACTTCATAAGCCCCCTCCCAGGTCCCCCCTCACTCTATGGGGGTCAATATGACCCCCATAATAGCACAAGGGAGATTAAAATCTCCCCAATGCCCCTACTCGCTATACCGCGAGTATGGGGCATGTCCACTAAACAGTGAGCAGCCTAAATGACGGGTGGGGGCACTAAAGTAAAATAAGGGGGGAGACCTATTGTCTCCCCCCCCCAGCCCCCACCCCTGGGTGGCGGGTGGGGGCCATAATGATAGTGAGGGGGGGGGACCTATTGTCCTCCCCCCACCCCTGGGCGGTGGGTGGGGGCCATAATGATAGTGAGGACCTACTGTCCTTCCCCTCCCCGGCCCCCACCCCTGGGCAGCGGGTGGGGGCTATAATGATAATGGGGGGGGGGTGACCTACTGTCCTCCCCCCCCCCGGCCCCTACCCCTGGGCGGTGGGTGGGGGCCAAATGATAATGAGGGGGGGGACCAACTGTCCACCCCCCCTCCAGCCCCCACCCCTGGGCGGCGGGTGGGGGCCATAAAGATAATGAGGGGGCAGGGTGGACCTACTGTCCTCCCCCCCCCGGCCCCCACCCCTGGGCAGCGGGTGGGGGTGGGGGCCCTAAGTCAAATTCACCCCCCCATCAAAGGTGACTAGGGGTCCCCAAGCCCCTAGTCACCCACTCCCCCACTCAAATAAAAAGTCCCCTATCTACCCCCCTCACCCTAAAAAATAGTGAGGGGGGAATAAAATAACTAACCTGTAAAGTAAAATGAAACTTACCATTCAACGTCTTCTTTTTTCTAAAATCTTCATTTTTCAGCTCCAAAAAAGGCCAAATAAAAAACCATCATAAACGTCGAACTTCACCCATGGAGGGCTCCGCGCAGACTGAGCTCCGCAGAGCGGGGAAGGACACAGAGCACTCTGATTGGCTTAAACCCACCAATCAGAATGTTCTTAGCTTAATTGCAGGGCGGGGCAAGGCTTTATAAGCCTTCCCCCTGCGGAGCCAAGACTGCGCGGAGCCCTTCATGGGTGAAGATGGATTATTTTTTTGCGCTCTGTTTTTTTCTTTTTCGTCAGGGTTTTTTATTTTTGCGCTCGGGATTTTTATTTTATTTTAAGTTCGACGGTTATGATGGTTTTTTATTTGGCCTTTTTTGGAGCTGAAAAATGAAGATTTTAGAAAAAAGAAGACATCGTAAGGTAAGTTTCATTTTACTTTACAGGTTAGTTATTTTATTCCCCCCCTCACTATTTTTTAGGGTGAGGGGGGTAGATAGGGGACTTTTTATTTGAGTGGGTGACTAGGGGCTTGGGGATCCCTAGTCACCTTTGATGGGGGGAGGGGGGGTGAATTTGATTTAGGGCCCCCACCCACCGCCCAGGGGTGGGGGCCGGAGGGGGGGTGGACAGTAGGACCCCCCCCCATTATCATTTGACCCCCACCCGCCGCCCAGGGGTGGGGGCCGGGCAGACAGTAGGTTCCCCCCTCCTCATTATTATTATGGTCCCCCCCTCATTATCATTATGGGCGGCGGGTGGGGGCCGGGGGGGACACAATAGGTTCTCATTCAGTTAGAACGCAATTCTGCAGTTTCGTCTAAAATGACAGGAAGCATCGCGGGAACACAGAGGAAAGGTAAGAATTATGGGAAAATTGCTCTGACCAGCGGAAATGAAGCACACTTTGCTCCTCTGCTGGTCAAGCGGAGGAATCCCCCATAAGGCAAAGAGTCCCTACTTAGTCTTATGATTTTAAAGAAAATTAAAGAAGACACTAAGAAAAGAAGAACAGATCCTGAGAGAGGGGGAGAAGAGGAAGAGATTGAGGAAAGGTAAGTTCGGCATGACAGTGCCGCTTTAAAATATAAAACATAAAACGCTTCTTTCTATGCATTCCAACATATTAAATGATAGGAAAAAACTAAAATATCGTTCTACATTTTAAAACCCATTGAGCCCAAAAGTTAAAAAACGTTTTGAAGTTCTCATTTCAACCAAAGAACATTGTGTGTCCCACAAGCCACATGTTGGGTTCATTGTTTAAATATTTAATTTATTAGTATCCCTTTTTTGTCTTCTTAACCATACAGTATTCATAGCTTCAGAATAAATATCTCTAACAAGTGACTCTCACAGAGAGGGCTTTAAAGTTGCATTTTGCTCTGAAAGGTGTGGAGCAGTTAATCGGTTTGATGTAATAATATAGGGAGACTGGCTCAAGTGATGCTACTCTGAGTTAGTCATGTGCAATCCATATACTCCTCTTCTGTTTCAATTTCGGGAGGGCACAGTTCATCCAGAGCAAACTCTGTAACAGACAGAGGAAAACAAGACACTGTGAATACAGATTTAGTTGGACCAACATCTGAAAACATTAGCTACTCCACAAAAGCAAATGGAAATACTTTTAAGTACTCTCTTTTGAACATTTTTGTAGTTTCTTCAGTCAAACAAATTAATGAATATAATATAAGCGTTAGGGACAAACCCAGGTAAATTAACTACATGCAAAATGTAGACAATGTTTTAATAATACATAAGTATTCCAAAATGCTGTGTATGCTTGAAAACAATATATGTTTACTTTTTCCTGTACGGCACCCCCAACTAAATAACTTTTTTTGTCTATATACTTACAGTAGTACATAAGTGGCACCCTACAATTATTATTATTATTATTATTGGTATACTCTAGTGTTAGTATTCCAAACAGGATACAAAACAGGTGTACTAGGGAGCATTATATCATCTGTCCACTCAATGCCATTATATAAATGCAGCGACTTACAGGACAAATTTTATGAACTGCAGTGGGAAAATACCTTCAACTTCTCTCAAGACTTGAAACTTCTTTAGGACAGCTCGAACCCCTGGTACAGCTTGATCATACTGGTGGAGAACCTCTAGACAGTGCTCGCTGAAGTTCTTGTCTCTCTGAGAGAGTGTGTGTAGCAGCATTACAGTTTCCTGCAAAAACTGCACAGATTTGCGGTGGGCTGCAGTTGGAGGCAAGACCACAGAACGGCGCACATGCAGCCATTCCTGATGCAACATTAGGACCAGAGCCTTCACAACCTGCGTAGAGGATAGAGTATAAATTAAAAACCGTTGGCAATCAACATTACTACAACTGCCTATTTCTTATATTCCAAATCAGTGGTAAAACCAAAAGGCTTCAGCCAGCTTTGGATAAAATACTCAGAAAACTGTGTATGTAACCAACTGAGCAGATATCTAGCTCCTCTACGTGTGTCACAGTTCTAATAAGTAATAATGTAATTGCCCTCTCCTCTGGGTTTTATAATTAGCTTATATAGTACCTTATCTTCAGAATGGGAAACATGGAAACTTCTACACAAGAACATGACGAACAGCCTTAAATTCTACTAAACAGTAGCTGGAACTTAGTGACATCAATTCATCGAGATGTCCTAGGAATCCATGTTTTTGTAAGAGTGTCAGATATTTAAATAGTGAAAAACTGTGCATGTCAAGGAATGGGGGGGAGTGGGGGCGGCAGCGCCAGTGTACTCGTGTGGCGCTGAAAATAAGGTGAGTTTTAATTCCTTTTAAGGGGGCTACGGGTAGACAAGCTACCTAAATGGTGGGTTTAGCACTATAGGGTCAGGAATACATGTTTGTGTTCCTGACCCGATAGTGTTCCTTTAAAGGAGCCTTATGAGTTCTATAACCACAACAGCAGTTTAGTGGTTCTGGGGCCAGCATGCCACAAGTACAAAACAATTTTAAGAGATTTGACACAAACTGAGGGTTCTTGTCCCTGTCCCTCACTCAAAATATTGTTAGTAAGTAAATTACACTTCTACATTAGCAATGTCATTACTCTCCTTATTTGAACAGCATTCACTAGCTGAATGTGTTAACTGATGTACTCAGCCAATGAATGCCATCCAATCATCCCATTGTTGGCATATGTAAAAATGTGCAATATTTTAAACACCTCGTTACAACATCATAATGTAAGAAAGCAGTAAAAAGCTGAAATCCCACACCACTGCTGACAGGTCAGAGATAAAAACCATGATTTGCTCTACTGAACGTTTTTTAGTAGCCTCGCCCCATGGAAGCTCGGTGATATTACAAAAACATATTTTGATTTTGCATTATAGTGGTGATGGATGGAATTTCCACTGAATGTTCCCATGGTGCACAGCTAAACTACAGGCTTTTGTTAAAACATATCTCTCACGTCATGTTTTACAGCTAGATATATTACATATCTAGTATAATTAAATAAGGTTCAAAGCCAATCGTGCATTCAATATATTCACCTCTCGGTTACAGTGACATGTTACACTGGACTCTGCCGCTGGCCCATTCCAGCCCTGGACATATCGTTTTGTAAGGAATCTCACCACCTAGGATAAGATAGGGGTATAGAAAACATCTGCTTAACATTATATTTGGAAACTAGCATTAGTAAGAGAGAGTTAGTGCAATTGAGTCACATTTTATCACTTTTTGAGGATTCAAAGTGTTGTTGGGGGGCTTTTTTAGTATTTAACTTTGTGCCACATTGATGAACCATTCATTGCTCACTCTCAGGCACTACTACATAGAGTGCAGATAGCAAGTTCACCTTCAGGTAGCTAAAGCTTTCATCTAATTACTGTACTGACTAAATTACTGGCAAACTCAAAACTTAAAAGATTTAGTTACTTGAAGATATTTTCCATCTTCAAGACAGCACCATTTAACAAACATCCATCCTGTCCCAAAATAAACAACAAGAATGGCACCATTCCTGGCATACAGGGGCACACTAAAGAATTGTGTGAAGCTGCTGTGTCGCTTGTGGGCAGTAATATTGTAAATAGTGAATTTAGCTTCTCTTTTATTTTACCTTGATGTCAAACAGTAAATGATCATGTCTAGCTCACATATCCTGCTACATAGCCATTAAAGAGGAACCCATCATTTCACAGAAGGCCCAGAACTGTGGATTGTTATGCCAAGTCTTAGAATTTTAATATACATTAAAAAGATATTGAAGCATCACATCAAAATAAAATTAAAATGGGGGGCGTGGCTGAGCCACCATGCTGATGGGTCGCATGAAAGAGCAGCTACTGCAAATTCCTGCATAATGGGCTAAAAATAAGCTGTACAATTCACTACCTAACAACCTAAACAGTAAGGATCACTGTGCACAACGGTGTTGGAACCGAAGCCAGTCTTTCAACAAGAGTTTTAGCCCTTTGGAGGGTGATTTGCCAACTTTGTAGCTGAGGCCTGCTCAAGCTGTGAGTGGGGTGGATGGCCGCCACCCTGCTATCTAGCTCAAAGGTGTTCAGTCGACCCTTTGCACTGCGTGGTGTTAGCCTCATTTCCCCCACCTCCTTGGAATCCATGGGGGTGATCCCGGTCCTCGCCCTGGAGACCCTACTGCATCCCAGAGTCTCTGCTGTACTGCTGCACAGAAGGGAAGCCTTACCCAAAATGGTGGATGCTCCATGTCGAGCGGACAGCGAAATGACACAAGCTAACCTCACTTGCACACTTGATGAAATCTTTGCGGATTTCTGGGAAAAGCTGAACCGCCGACTGCAACAGCCTGTGCAGCGGGAGAGGAGTGATCACCCACCCCGAAGTCTACCACCCGGGATTAAAAGGAAGACACAAGCTCTGGCTCTGTGACAGGCCTGTGCCAGGTGGAAGCGGCTGAAGCAATCTGTCTCTGTGACAGCAGCGTGTGGCTCACTAGGAGGCCAAAAGTCTTGCAGACCTGACCCTACCTTAGCCTGGAGGGATGGAACACAACATGAGCCAACGCAGCTATCAATGGGCTTTCCTTGCTGCAATGTCTGGATGCCGCACCTGCCAATACAGGGGATGTGGAGCAAGCAGGATGCCAGACCTGATCAGGACTGTGCTTTACCCCTGGAAGGTGTTGGCTGTACTGTGCCTCTTGCGGCTATTGTGCCACTACTACACATGCTTACACCATGTATATTAATTTCTTTTATTTGTGGTTTGCCTTTTCTCTTTTTGTACCTTTGGACTCTCTCGTATACATTTAGATTGGCATTTCATACTCCATGCATCAGCGCTGGGGGTCTCCAGGGTGACAGTCTCCATTGGTCATACATTCCAGCTCTTCATTGTAGTTTTCTCTTAGTAGTCCTGCACAAACTGAGCTGGCACAGGTCTAAGCTTGCAATATTTATTTCTACTTAATCCATTCTCAGTTAGCAAGTAACCATAGCATGGTTTACTTCATTGAATTTACCTCTTGCATCTGGGCCGGTATACTATCTGATTTATTATTATTACCAAAAAATGTGCTAGATTATCGTTTGCCATGCAATTGCTATGCTTGCATCTGCTGTTGTGGCATTGCAAGATTGTCTGTATATTCTGAGCACAGCAAAAATAAAGAATAAAAAAAAATAATTTCCAGAGAAGTAACGGCCCGCTTTAGCAGTAATTATAATGGAGAGAATAATTACTGACACTTCTTAACTTAATGACAGTTCTGTAAACCTATCTGCCACAAACGGGTAAAGAGCAATTATGAAGCAAAAAATAGACTCATTCAACATGATTTCAAGTAAGTTATTCTTTACGAATAAGGCCCAGTCTGCGTGCTGTGTCCAACATCCGTGGTGTAACAGACCATGTGAATATTTGCTGTATTTTGCATACCTCTTGTTCAAACTGCAGCCAGATTGAATCAGGGGCGGTCTTGTCTGGTCTTGAAATAACATAGGAGTACAGAGCATGAAAAAGGCATCCTTCTACGATGGGAGAAGAGCAATGGGGTTAAAACTTATTTTTAAATGTTAAAAGCAGTTTCTTGCTTAAATAAAAAGTGCTTGTATCAATTTTTAATACAACAAACAAAGGTGTTGGCAAAATGGATTTAGAGAATATCTCCAATATGGGGAGAACTAAATTTCTTTCACCTTCACGCCATTTGCCATTTAGATGTTCTCCACCTCATCTGGTGATTTGCCACATCTTTACTTCAATTCTAGTGATCGTGTCCCAGCCAGGTATGAATAAATGGCACTCTAACCACATCTCCTTTCTCGACTCTGCTTTAACACACCTATTTAGTCTGGCTGCCCTACCCTTCACGAAAGAAATGGGTAATGGCTCTGAGCCAAAAAAACAGACAATGGTAGGTTTGATGAATGTTATTGTAGAAAAGAACAGAGGCTAAAGTACCCAAAGTTGCATGATGTATTGGTTTACTGTTCATTATATGTGATGCAAAACTAATGCAAATAGATCCCAGTTACATAGAAGTAATAGTACATTAAAATAGAAGAGAAGTGTAAGGAATAGCAGCCCTGTCACAAACAAGCACCAAGGCATACTAGAAAGGGGTGGGTGGGGGAAATGAATTAATTAAAAATGGCAAGGATCTTGTGGCATCATCCCAGATTGTTGGCCACCCTGAAATAATCAATCACTCAACTAAACTGACAGTTTTACTCCTACATTATTATTGGTATTTTGGGCAACATGATTATGATGATTAAATTAGATTTATTTTATATTTTCACATGTTTATATACTTTCATTTTATTTTCAGGATATTGATGAACATATGGTACATTATATAGATAAAGGAGAAAGAATGGATACATAAATAGACAGATTAAATGTGAAGTGTGTTGTTTTATGTAGAAATTATGTGTGTATGTGATTGTGTATACATCCGATTATGTGTGTGAATGTATGTGATTGTATGTATGTCTGTGATTGTGTATTTAGGTCTGTGTTTGTATGTGTGCCTTTGTGGGTCTGTGATTGTGTGTATAGGTCTGGGATGGTGTATGTCTGTGATTATGTGTGTGCATAAGTATGTGATTGTATTTGTGCATGTGTGGGTCTGTGATTAAGTGTATTTATGTCTGTGTGTTTGTATGTGTATATATCAGATTATGTATGTGGTTGTGTGTATAGGTCTGTAATTGTATGAGTGTGTGGGGGTCTATGTCTCTTTGTGTCCCGTCCAGCCCCTCCATGCAACTCTTCTCCCCCATGTGTCTCATTTCCTCGCCTCCCTCTCATGTTAATTTTGGCAGCAAATTTCAATTTAGTTTTAGTCCTAGTCTTTTGACTTAAAAGCCATTTATTTATAGTCGTATTTTAGTCATCTGAATTGTTTTACTTTTAGTCAACAAAATCTCAAAAATGTATTTGACTAAAATTGTTAGTGGACAAAATGAACACTGAATTGGCATACTAGATATAGGGGGAAAAAGACTTGTGGCATGAAAAAAAGGTTTGCAACATTAAAACAGGATTTTTGTTTTATTTTTTATTTCTTCCGGCTATTCCCTAAAATCATTTTAAAATACAATAAAGATCAGCACATAATCTACTGACTTCCTGTACTTTCCAACACATTTTACAAACTTTGTATTACTTGTTTGTGATTCTGATGGAAAATAAACGTCTACAGTCGCATAATTTTGAAGATTTGTTGCTAAATAGTCAAATTATCAATTTCCTGTGGCAATTTATATGCCTCTACTCCATGGATACCTGGCATTTCTTCTGCAACATTTTCTGAAATTAGCAAGTATCTTGTGGCATCTTGATAGATTTTTGGACATATATATTTAGATTTTTCCATCAGGTATATTCAACTATTGCTACTGTCTCATTTAATGCTGGTTTATAATGAGCACAGTTCACAATAGAAAATATTCTCATGAAAAAACCAAGTGGACATTAAGAGTTGTATTCTACAATTACCCTACAGATATATCTGGAAATGTTACTCCAGTCCTCCTCCAGAGACACACATTCAGAATAGAGGATGTGGAACAATATGGGGTTAGTCACGTGGGTGGGAAGTAAACAAACTTTAAAGCCACTAGCAATGTCAGATTAATAGTGCATTTCATTGAACTTACGTGACCTGTCAAATTGTGAGTCTCTGGGAAATCTAAGAACATTCTGGTATACCCAAAGCCTATATCTGTTATCACATTGATGACATTGACTTGCATACTTAGCCAAGACATTTAGGTAAAAAATAAAAAAAACAATTTCAGTAATTTACCTGAGCAAGAACACAAAAGAGCGGACAGTTTTTGGTGATCAGAAAGAACAGCCAAAAGTTTGACAACCATATGAGCCACTGATGTAGGAGAATCTCGAGAGAGGCACTGACGCAGGGTAGGCACGGTAAACAAACTGTTAAAACTATGAAAATAAAAAAGGAGAGAGTGTAGAGATAATGAAAATCACTGAAAAGACATCAACGTTCCTCACAATTTAGCAATTATTAGAAAGGTGCAGTCTGAGACAGAGACATAATACGTGGTGCAGGCAAAAATGTTAATATCTTTTTCATTTGCATTGCAAATGATAAACAGAAACATTTTAATTTCTCCACTAGACTTAAAACCAAACAATAAACGGATTACATTTATTCACTACATTCCAAATCGCAGTAAAATGAAAATTTTGCACACATTTCTACCATTCTTCTTCCCCATTTTTATATTACTTCATGTGGTGTAAATATGTTAGACATGACCAGCTTTGAAAGAAAGATGAAGTAACACTAGGTCATGATGAGGCAATACATTAACACCAAAGCAGATAAGATGAACACCGCCCTGGCCAATCAGCATCTCCTCACTGCCCCAGGAAGCACCTCCAGTGGCTGTTAGAGGCGTGGCCACTAGAGGTGTTCCTAGGCTGTAATGTAAACACTGCCTTTTCTCTTAAAAGGCAGTGTTTACAGCAAAATACCTGCAGGGACAAGCTTTACACACCAGAACAACTACATTAAGTTGTAGTTGTTCTGGTAATTATAGTGTTCCTAAGGTAAGTAAACCTTATTTGAAAATGCTCTTTGAGAACATTTCAATATTTTAACTGCAAACTGCATATAAATGCACAGTTAGGAAAAAAAACTATATGTAAATAAGAGACAAACAGTAAAAGAGGCAAATATTTGATATGCAAATATAGCATCGTGTAAATCATCAAAAGGATGGGGAAAATCCAATCCCTACATATGCCTCTTCATGGTATAAAAAATAAGTTTAAAGTTTTGAGCTACCACATGATTGTCTGCAATGATCTACCCAACTATTGACCTAACCCAAGTAAAATAAAAGATGAAGAATAAAACATAAAATGTAGTCAGGACAACAGACTGTAGAAAAGAAAGAACAGTACCTGTACAAGAGTTCATTAGGGGAGTTTTCTGCTAATTTCACAAGTACGCTGAGGACTTTGTTTTGGACGATGTTTTTCTGGCATGTCACAACAGGGGAGGACAAAAGAGATGTCAGCTTTTTAAGTAAAGGATGTGGTCTGTATTCAGAGCAATCCACCGTGTTTGCATCTGAGAGTAGAACAACTGTCTCATCTCTGTATGCAGTATTCTGCAATAAGGCTTCCACCACCTCTAGACTATAAAACACCAAGTGATAAAGTATCTCCAGAGAGGCTAGAGATGGCTCTACCAAACTGGATAGCGAATCCTCAGCATTTGAGATAACATTTTGCTGTGCACTAGAAGAAGTTTTTTCCTGAGTGTCTGATGGATGTGTTTTGGATTTTTCCAAGGTCTCCAGTGCATGGCAATAAGCAGCAATATGGTACTCCACTAAAGGCAATATGTGGACTGCTCCAGACAGCCGGCTCATCTTGTTCAGGTGCAATAACCCTGTTAAACTTTGAGAGTCTCTTTTCCATGCCAAATCTTCCCCCACAGCAATAGAATTGAGTCCAGTGATGGCCAGCTTCTGTGCGTCCTGTAAAGCAGAGCATCGAGCAGGAGAGACAACACTGGAGGAGGTGGTGCCTGGTGTTCTAAGTAAAGGAAATAATGGAATAAATAAATAAGGTTGTACTTAAGCAACATAAATGCAGAGAAGATGCAACTAATATATTAAAATATGGCAAAATGATGTATAACTTATAAGATCCCAATCAGTAAGAAGATTTTCAAATCTTACATGGTATTCTTTCAAAATGCAGATGTTTTACACAAATATACTTACTCTCATACCAGACTTCTTACACTCGTGAAATAGAGAGGCAGAAGGCTATAAGGATGGTAAGAATGGTTTATGTTTAATGTGTCCTTTCTCAAAAAAAGATAGAGGACATAGGATAGAAAAACACACAGCCATATAAAATTTTAAAGTGATATAAATTACATTTTTCAAGAGTAAGAATTATGAGAAAAATAGGAAGTTCCCAATCTCATAACATCAATTAAATAGACATATTCCAAAGCGAATATGATTATCTAAGGGCTTTGAATTGTTGATCATCCTATAAAATCCTATAAACATGACATGATTTTATACAGAAAGACAATTTACCTGCTGGAATGGCTGCTACATGTGGGCGACCCAGTGACAACATTTTGATTACTGCTTAGAAGGTCGTACAACCCAAGTGACCCATGGCGTAACGACTGCTGCATCAAAGCATTCAGCAGGACTGAGCCTGGTGGAGAAGAGTTCACATAATATTATTGTTTAGACCAGAATATACTAAGGCCTCTACCATACAAAATAAAAAATAAAAAACTAATAACGCTATTACCACCTAAATGGACACATTGGGCTGAAAGGGACACTTATGTTAAATGCTTTTTATACAATGCATTAAACAGGAAGAAAAAATAAATAATAAGATACTCACCTTTAAAGGTCCAACAGCTTCTGAAAATACACAGGAAGGTGGACTTTCAATGGAGGCAGCAACGAGCTCTGCCTAGATCAGAAAGAGGCTCCACTACCAATCAAGAACCTCTTATTATGGTCTTTGGGATTTGGTTTGATTCCCATATCCCCTTGTCCAGTCGCATGCGATATGTAGTCCAGTGCTAAGCTGCCAATCCATTCATCAAGCAGAATGAGTGACACTATGGAATACCCTAATAAAAGCCGTACCGTGTTTTTGTGAACAGGCTATGTAGAGCTCGGTCTCTTTTTCAGTATTTATTTAGGGGTACAGAAGGGAGTGTATAGACACCTCTTCTGACTTATCGAACAAAAGTTCCACACCGTGATTACTGCAAAAAAAAAAACCCAAAAACTGTGTACAAAGCTGGGGATCTCCTTGTACCATAACCTATGCAATGAGCCTGAGCAGTTGCATCCCCAATTAGAGGAGATTGCATAGAAAGTATACAAAATAATTCTAGCTTAATTAAATGGTTTTGGTATACAGCTCAGGCCCATGTAGTCTTAATACTCAATTATCTGGCTTTTAGGAGAAAAATCACTTTATTGCTACTGTCCATGTCACAACATCAATGGTTGTAACTCACACAGCCTCCTAAACACTTCCTGTAAATAGAGATCTAATTTTTAAACTTCCTTTATTGCACACTGTGTTTAATTTATAATTTCTTATCTCCTGCTCTAATAATTGCCTGATAAAGTATGTAAGAGCCTCCAGTGTGATTAAAATGTAATTAACAGAGCAGAAAATATAAATGTCTAAAATAAAAACACTGTGCTGTTAGATCTGATTGAAAATGAAACCATTTTTTCATGAAGGCTGTGTGAGTCACAGTCACGGGAAGTGTAGCAAGGGCTGCATAATAAGAAACAAGAGTGAATGCACTCCTGAATGGTGGAGAATTGAGCAGTGAGACTGCAAGGGCATAATCTGTACACCAAAACTGCTTCATTAAGCTAAAGTTCTTTTAGTGCTTAGAGTGTCTCTTTAAATGCAAAGTAAAAGAAAAAATATAGCAAATAGCTTTTTTTCTAGGATTTTTAAACATAAAAAGGAGAGGAAATACATTCTTATATGTTTATTTTTTGTTTCCAATCTTTTCTCAGTGATTTTACCAAAAGCATATGTGTATTGTCACTCCTAAATTATTATTTCATGTAACTGTCAAAGTGAAAATATATCACCTTAGATATTTCTTCTACTTCACATAATTTACTTCCTGTCCTTCTTAAAATTTCATATTCAACTTAGAAAAGGATATTCCTACAATATTGCATAGTTAATTAGTGTAAAGGTACTGTTACAATTTACAGATACCAATATAGTCTGAACAGCTGTAACAGGCTCACCATCTAAGGTATCAATCAATTCAAAATACATAAATAAAATGTATTTTTTCAAAAATTATTAGTGGTGCAAAACAAATGTCAATATTGTGTATAATTTGCTTTCAATGTCCAGTTTAAGATTAATCTTTTACACTGATCAACCACAAAAATAAAACCACTGAAAGGTGAAGTGAATAACATTGCTTATATCTAAACAATGGCACCTGTCAAGCGGTGGGATATATTAGGCAGCAAGTGAACAGTCAGTTCTTGAATTTCATGTGTTGGAAGCAGAAAAAATGGGCAAGTGAAAATAATCTGAGTGACTTTGATGAGGGCCAAATAGTTATAGCAAGACGACTGGGTGAGAGCATTTCCAAAATGGCAAATCTTGTGGGTGTTCCCATTATTGCAGTGGTTAGTACCTACAAAAAGTGGTGCAAGGAAGGACAAACACTGAACCGGCGTCAGGGTCATTGGTGCCCAAGGCTCTTAGGTGCACCTGGGGAACAAAGGTTAGCCCGTCTGGTCCGATCACACAGAAGAGCTACTATGGCTCAAACCGCTGAAAAACATAATGCTCATAATGCTGGCCAAGATAGAAAGGTGTCAGAACACACAGTGCATTACAGTTAGCGTAACCGGTCAGAGTGCCCATAATGACCCCTGTCCACGTCCGAAAGAGCCTGAAATGGAAATGTTAGCGTCAGAATTGGACCATGGAGCAATGGCTGCCTGGTCTGATGAATCACATCTTCTTCTAGATCACGAGGATGGCAGAGTGTGTGCATAGTATACCTGGAGAAGAGGTGGCAGCAGGATGCACTATAGGAAGAAGGCAGGCCGGTTTAGGCAGTGTTATGCTCTGGACAATATGCTACTGGGAAACCTTGGGTCCTGGCATTCATGTGGATAATTTGGCATGTACCACCTACTTAGAGATTGTTGAATACCTTGTACACTTCATGGCAATGGTGGTCTCTGATGGCAGTGACCTCTTTCAGCAGAATACACCATGCCACGCTGAAAACACTGTTCATGAATGATTTTAGGAACATGACAGTTTGTAGTGACTACAAAAACAGTTAGCAGAATCTCACCTTGACCATTTTTTCTTTGGGTATGATATGAATAGGGAAGGTTCTTCACTTTCTTGTTGTTTAGCAAAATGTCATTCTCTGTGACAAAAAACATAATGACAGATATAAAGCATTAAACACAAGAAAAGATTAACAGTGTAAGTGTGACAATCTAGTATAAAGGGTTGGTTGAGTATAACAAAATAAAAAGAGCTGAAATGCCAAATGTCTAGCAGCACAGAAAAAACAACTAGAAGCTTTAAAATTGGCGATCAGTATATTTACGTTTCATAATACTTGATGAAGGCTTTGTTGCTTTTGTGAGGGTTTACACTGTTTATGGAGAAAATAATGTGAAGGCTGTACTGTGGGGCAGATATGTAGGTTATTTGTTGGTTGTTACCATGGACTTAGCATGTGGCTACAGCGTGATTGATGAACCCTGTAAGACTGGTATGTGATTGCGTTAAGGATGGTATGAGAGTGCTGTGTGAAAGGAGGGTATGGTTACACTATGTGAGTGCTGTGAAGTTGATATGTGGTTGCTCTCTGGCCAATTGGTCCACCTGGAAAAGCCTTGCAGAACTTGGTAAGAGTCACCCTGTAGTTTTAGGATAATGTCCTACATTCCAATATCAAAAACATACGCAGGCAGTACTTTGGCTTCAATTAATCATTCTTAAAATGAACAAGGGAAAGCAGACAACATAAATATAAAGGTGAAACCTTTTGCTCAGAAAAAGTAATGCTCATAATAATTTTGGAGCTGTATTTGGGGTTCGGAGTAAAATATCCTTTTATATTAACTAGGAAGTTTAGGGTTAGACACTCATTATTCCTAATATTGTGTATTATGATATTTAGGAATGAAGACTGAGAAGTCTTTATCCCATTTAAATCAGCAATGTCACTTGTGAATTTTTTGTAAAGTTAGAATCTTTATGAAAAACACCTGAGCAAGAATTTTAATGAAATAAGACAAAAGTAACTTCTATATTGTCTTATGGGTAAAAAGATTTTAGGCAAAATGTAGCAATAGATGGTGGGACAGGCCTCTTCACAAGTCCAATATGCCTATGGCATGCACATAAGTACAACAGTGACTTGTCTTGAATCTGCCAGGTTCTCAAGAGTGGGTCCAAGAAAAAGACTGCAGTACAAAAGGAGAGGGAGGTTCCAGTATGTCTACCTTTTCACTCTCTTTCGGGGCACCATCATAACACTTATGATTAAATATGGGGATGTACAATTTATCGAATTATACTACTAATAAATAATGATCCATAATCACACAAAGAGGAGGGGGCAATAATTATTGTTTGCTTGAAAACCACCCTCCATTTTTTATTAAGGACTTTTCTTCAAAACAGAATCTAGCCCTTATGTAATCATAAGAAAATCCAGGGCAGAAAACATGTTCAGCCTTCTTTTAACATGGGATATATTTACAAAAATATCTGACCTGATTTGACAATGGGAGCTTTTACAGCCATAGTTGATGTGGATGGTTTCAGGTTCATATCTGCAGTAAATGATTCCTTTGTGGGGAAGCAGTTTTTTCCAGGTGGTGATGAAAATGTCTCTAATTTTACGACTTTGGATGGACTCTTCTTGGGGCTAGAAGAAAATAAAAACAAACAATACTTACAAAAAGTGTAAGAATTAGTAGATACCACCTATCATTTGTCCTTTTTATTTAAAACAACATGACACATATATAGTAGGAAAGCACAGTAAATAAAACGAAAGGGAAAAATGTGGGAGGAAAATATACACTTTATTTTATAGGCATTATAGAAATCATAGGCGTGCGCAGCCTATTGCATTAGGGTGTGCACCCAAAAGCACAAGCACACGCGCGTGTATGTATATATGTATGTGTATTATATATATATACATATATATATATATATATATATATATATATATTTTACACATATACATACACACACATACACTGCTGTGTGTGTGTGTGTTGTGTGAGGGTGCTGGTAGTGTGCTATGTCGGTGAGGGTGTTTGTGTGTGTGCGCGCTTGTGAGGGTGCTGGTAGTGTGCTATGTGGGCGACGGTGTTTGTGTGTGTGTGCCCTTGTGAGGGTGCTGTTAATGTACTGTGTGTGAGGGTGCTGTTTGTGTGTGAGGGTACTGGCAGTGTGCTGTGTGTGTTTGTTAGGGTCCTGTTAGTGTGCTGTGTGAGGGTGCTGTTTGTGTTTGTGAGGGTACTGTTAGTGTGCTGTGTGTGTTTGTGAGGGTGCTGTATGTGTGTGTGGGTGGTGTATGTGTGGGTGCTGTGTGTGTGTGTGGGTGGTGTATGTGTGGGTGCTGTGTGTGTGTGGGTGTTGTGTGTTCTGTTTGTGTGCTGTATTTGGGTGCTGTGTGTGTGTGGGTGATGTGTGTTCTGTTTGTGTGCTGTATGTGTGAGGATGCTGTGTGTGTGTGGGTGATGTTTGTTTGCTGTGTGTGTTGTGTGTGTGCTGTATGTGTGTGCTGTGTGTGGGTGCTGTGTGTGCTGTTTGTATGTGTGTGTGCTGTATGTGTGCGTGTGCTGTTTGTATGTGTGTGTATCCCCCCTCCCTTCTTACCTTATGTAGGGAGGGGGGACCGTGCTGCTGCCTTCCCTGGTGGTCCAGTGGAGGTGGGGGCAGATTACTTAATATCCCCCCTCCCTTGTTACCTTATGCCAGGGAGAGGGGATACTTTCTGCCTTCCCTGGTGGTCCTAGTGGTGAGAGTGAACTCTAGCCTGCGGCAACGCTCAGATCTCGCGAGAGGAACCCGGCGGAGCTGCTGGCAATAGCTCCCCAGGTCCTCTCCTGCCTCCCCCCCTGTGGGTCGGTGGGGAGGCTCAGAGCAGAGCTGGCGCACACCCCTTGCGCACGCCTATGATAGAGATAACATATATACAAAAAAGTAATTATTAAAATATGGAAAATAATACTAAAATTTACTACCAACGTTCCCTGCATACATGCCATTAAGTGCAGCAGCGGGTAGAAATCTCCCTAGATCAGGAACATCTTATTCTACTTTTCCCATACTACTTTTTATTCACTTTTCTACTTTGCAGGGGTTTTATGGGATAAGCAGTCTATCCCAGTCATAATCCTAGGAGTGGAACTGCTCAATGATCTGACAGAATTATATTCTATTTTGTGCAAAGTGTAAAGTAGAAAAAAGCACTGAGTGAATGGTAATCTCTGCACCATAAGCTTTACAATAAAACATGATGGTGTTTAGAGTGAACCCTGAAGCAAAATAGTTGATATGTACTGAATAATTATAGGCAGAATAGGGGAAGGGGGTAGTAAAGAAAAATTGCACCACTGGTACTTACAAATATAAAATCAGTCAATTCCTCTTTTCTTGTGTGGGAAGTCCTATTTAAAGGGTTAAGCCTGACAAGCAAATACATGTATACAAACCCTTTCCAATGGAATAATTCAATCCAATAATACCTTTAGCAACAGACTATACACACAACATTTTTTATGTTCCACCTTTGCGAAATACTGCACGTGAGACAGAATCAAAGGGGAACATTTTACATTTGACAATTCCCATTTACCTATTGTTTCCTGCTTGGGTGGGGTTTTTGTTGGGTGATAAGATTTCTAAAGAAGTGATGTACATGTTATAATGCAGTTATGTACATATTACAATGCAGTTCTGTTTATATAGTAGCTGATGATCAACTTTAATAACCAAGTTAACTAAAAGCCTCAAATTAAACCTGGATCTAACAGAAATTCTCATATTTTGAAATGTGCTTATAACTACATTTCCAAGTCAATCATCTTGCATGTGGTCGTTAAAATTCCTCTGTGATTCACTGTATTCAATAACAACCAATGCTATGAGAATTCGGCCGAGTAGATTCCGGACGAATTTGGAATTCAGTGAATAAAAGTGTTGATTTCCCATGCATAGTCACTACATTAATTGAGCTTCCTTAACCCGTGCAAGTTGTCACTCATGTAATTTACATTGAACCACTTTCCAGAAGCATGTGCTGTTACTCATGGGTTTCTTGTGCACACTCAATCGTTGCAGACATGCGTGCAAATATTACTTAGTAATGCCCCATAAAACACTCATTACATGAGTTCTACGGATACAGCCTACTCTGTATTAACGGGTGGGAGAGGAGCACTTGCAGAAGATAAGGAGGTTGGTGAGTAAAGAAAGCCATGAGGATAACTGGTTAGTTGTCGAGATGGGTAGTCACTAAAAGTCAATAAGCCTGCTGATACTTATATGATTGGCCCTATATCCCAATCAATATGTATATATATTGTTACGAACGCTGGTATAGTGAATACCCTGTTCGCCTATTCCTCCCGAACTGCTGAGCCTGAGTGATTATAGCTGCAGTTCGGGTGTAGATACGAATAGTTTCAGATGAATGCAGCCTCCAAGTAGTTTCTCCCCAGCAAGTAGATAGTTAACATGAGCCTAGACTTCATGAAGGGTACAACAGGGATCAATCTTAATGGTGTCACACTGGCTTTAATGCAATCCCCATGCAAGTGGCACTCCCACATGGACCTTGTGGGGGACAGGGACACAACGGTTACATCCAATAATATTACAGTGACAAAGATGCACACTCCCAATGCAAACAGACAATCCCCTCCTCTCTGTCTGTGAGATAATGGAGTCAGCTAACTTGGTAACTCAATTATCTTCAGGCAGTAAAAACATGATTTCCCTAAAACTTGGAAAGTACCCTAAAACATATAGTATCCCCTTAAAAGTCACACCCCCTAACATATCTACAAATCACCCAGATCAGTTCAGGGGGTTTTCGAATTTTATGGAAGTCCCATGTGACTGACCGCAAACGAGGCTCCTGCCCAAAACAGTTCCATGCATTTAGGCTGTGCGGTCAGTCTATATCGAAAAGACATAAAAATGAATAAATGCATGAACGGAGCCCCCTGGCTCATAGGAGCGATTGTTCCCCTGGTTCGTGGGAACTAATCTACCGAACAGCACTCTCCTGGCTGTTCGGGAAAAGGAAGCAGGTGTTCGTATGGTTTGACCGGTGTTTGAGAAGTCGAGTGTACGATTTTAGTTCCAGACACTTGATGACCAAGTCCCGCTGCCTCCTTTCGTGCAAACAAGATGGCCGCAGTTTTCTCTTGCACGTGGCATTCGGCTACACTGGGAGAACGATTAATCAACAGTTTTCTTTGAAGATAATGAGCCGGGGGGTGGTCGGTGTTCAGTTGTTACAGCTACTGAACAAATAAAGCATCAAAAGTCTCGAATGGCATGCTATTTTCTTCACATATATCTTCTCTGTAATGTAACTATTTGCCTCTCCAGTCCTAACATTCAATCTTGGAAAAGTCACTTTGCAACCATTTTTGTAACAAAAGACAGAGGGCTTTCGGCTCACCCGTGTCACCAAGAGCAGCCTACAACCATCACACTCAAACTCCCCTGGAGCCTCTTATTCTCCCTCACTGTAGGTGTTGTACCCTACAGTGAAGCTCAGTGAGAAATAAAGTCAATCATTTGTGGACTAAATCTCCCATAATGCTCTTACAGCCATGACACAGGCAAAGCATCTGGGAAGATATAGTCCACGACATCTGGAGTGCCAGAAATTGCTTATTCGGGTCTTAAACTATCTGAGACCTCACAATCAGGGTCCCTCGACACAGCCTGGATTAGATTGGGTGTAGAACACAAAAGATTAGATTTCCAAAGATGACTTTTGACAATCGAATGGCATTCACCTACTGTTTGGCTTCAATTCGGCATTTAGTGAATAAACCCCCCAATGTACTGTAAAAACATATACACAGAAGTACAGATGTCTCCACCATAACAAATATACCTGACTGACTGCACAGGAATCCTGTTTCGTTCACAGTTTAGAAGTTTTGTTTTAAGTTCATTCATTTCAGCATCTTTAAACTCCAATTCTGACTTCAGAGATTGCATCTGCACAAAGAGAAAGAGGTAAACATCATAACATTAAAAATATAAATATTTTGTTTTCTTCCCATGCCAAAAACTAATGTTAATAGAAGCCAAGAGGTACACTCCATGCACCCATAAATAGATAAATTGCAACCAGCATCCCTGCACCTCTCTCTGCAATAATTAGAAAACAATTGCAGATATGTGCAAAATACTGTAATCCAGTAAGCTCACCCTCATTAAATACATTAAAACGGGGGCTTTTACTTTGATGTTTTTTGTTTTTTTGATTCATGGCTAAACTGCTGTTCTTTTAAAGCACGTGCAGCAAGTAGCTTCATTATCTTAATGAATAAACACATCAGTCTCTGTGCTTTCATTTTACAATGAAAACAAATGTAAAAAAAAAGTCTGTATTTCAAAAGTGTAGTGTAACTCAGTAAAGATGATAATCCGGAATGAGTGTTCTTACAGGGTGCGTTAACTAGTTTAGCGATAGAGTATATCAGCTATCGCCGTCATTGAAGCGTCCATATCCATCCTCTGCAATGTTTGTAAGCTCCCACTGCTCAGTTAAGTTGTCAGAAATAAAGTTTTGTACGGTTTTGAGGTTGGCTTGCCCCAAGCCTCTTTATTATTTAGCATAAGAGGATATCAAATTTAAGAGTTCATATTTTGCCAAAAGTTATAAGGTACTTCTGGGTATTCTAAAGCAATGTGTTAGTGCCACGCAAAGCCTGGAAAGCTTAATTAACCCCTTACTGGCAACATACAGTATCAGTTTGAAAGGCGTGATTTAAGGGCTAAAATAGGCTTCCTTGTCCAAAAGTGCTTTTTAAATGCAGGTCCCACTGTATTCTGTGAAATTCAGCTATTATGTATTATATACAGAATGTCTCACAAATGAGATATCACAGAAATATCTTTCTTGAGGTCCCTGCATGCACCATTACAGGGTCATTCAGATCTGAACTACAGTATAACACTACATGCTATGACCTACAATCCTCAGCACCAATGCTTCCAGCAGCTTGGAAAGTCTGTGATAGGGAACAGAATAGAGATTCTGTGCAATTAGTAGCAGCAGATCACTGACTGCAGCCATGCTTGCCGAGGTTGGTGGTCACTGACTGATCACTGATCAGAATGGGAACAGATAGCGTCTATGAAAAATAAACAAAGAGACATAACAAAATTAGGGCATGTCTCCAACTCCCCCAAAAAACGGGCAAAAGGTGCACAAGGGAGATATCAATGTACTTGGGAGATGTAGCAGAATACAAATCTGGTCTCTGAAATTCACCAATAAACTGAAATGTGAATGAATATTAAAATGAATAGACTACAAATACCCATATTCATTGCCCAAATAGATCTTATTTTGCAAGTGGTATGTCATGATGGCAGTAAAGTCCAGTAAATCAAGGGAAATTACTTAGTATGTATGTAAATTGACCTTATAAAAGGTCTACTACATCTGGGGTAAAGCAGAACTCATGAATAGTACTAAAGTGCAAAGCTGGGTTTTCAGTTTCTTTCTTAATTTTTTTTTTTTTTATGGCAGTGGGACACACATAATCAAGTGACAAAATGTTTAAATTAATAGAGTCAAAATACTCTAGGGCAAGCATGTCAAACTTGCGGTCCGCAGACCCTGTGTCACACAGTGAATATATTTGCGGCCCGCCTGCCCTTGGGCCGCTTTATGCTGTGGCTGCGACCAGCCGCAAGACATGGAAGATATTTCCTGTCTGTCCTGCCACAGCTGATCGCGTACTCCGGCGGCCTTAAGAGCTCTAAGCCTTAGTCCAGTGCCAGAGGAGCGTCAGGCCCACTTGAGGAGAGAAGATCAGGGCTGGAACTGGAGGACGGGCAGCTCATCTTTAGGTAAAAGGAAGAGGGGCTTGGGGGACCTTTCCTGTGTACTGTTTTAAATTGGGGAATGTGTATTAAATTGGGGAAGGAGTGGGCAGTATATTAATTTGGAGGAGGAAGGGAGGCAGTGAATTAGAGGGGAGGGAGTGAGGGGCAATATATTAATTTGGAGGAGGGAGGGATCAGTGTATTACATTTGGAGAGAGGGTGGTGGGAGGGGGGCAGTGTGTTAAATTAGAGGGAGGACTGTGTATTAAATTGGGGGAGGAGGGCAGTGTATTAGATTTGGGGAGGCTGTGTATTAGATTGGGGAGGCTGTGTATTATATTGGGGAGCAGTGCATTAGATTGGGGGAGGCTGTGCATTAGTTTGGGGGAGGCTAGTATTAGAGTGGTGCAACGGGGCAATGTATAAGAGTGGAGGGATGTGGCAGTATATAAAAAAGAGTGGAGAGAGGAGGGCAATGTATTAGAATGGGGGAGGGGGGCAGTGTATTAGATTGGGAGGCACTGAACAGCGTTTTGCCACACATGCACAATAGCCTTTCAAAACATTGGATTGGCTGAGATCAAGTTTGATGATCTCTGCCAAAGTGAAGAACACACTCATAGGACTTCAAAATAAACAATATAACATCATTTGTATTTTTTACAGCTGTGAAACAGCATACATTCACCATTTCAGTCCCATTAACTGAAACATTGGGTATATGCAAATGCACGTCTCCTGAAAATAAATCTGCTTTTTTGTTTACTTTGATGCCCTACGAGCATGAGGACATTCAGTGTTAGTTAAGCAACTTTTTTTTATATTGTAGTTTTCTAAGTAAACCTACGTTCTATGAAAACTGAAATATATTAGTTTTTTTTTTTTTTTTTGCAGCCATCATAAACTTAAAGGACCACTATAGGCACCCAGACCACTTCAGCCCCTCTAGGTCCACTAGGTCCCTCTAGTTTTAACCCTGCAGCTGAAAACACAGCGATTCTCAGTGTGAAATCACATTGAGATGATGCTGGATGTCCATAGGAAAGCATTGGGTAATGTTTTCCTATGTGTGGTTTTAATGCCCCCGCACTGCTTGCCGCGCATGCGCATTCGAAACTGACGACGGCAGAGGGAGGAGAGGTCACCAGCGCCAAGGGAGCCTGGCGCTGGATTAAGGTAAGTGGCTGGATGGGTTTTAACCCCTTCAGCCCTGCGGGAGGGGGACTCCAAGGGAGGGGAGGACCTAATAACCCTATAGTGCCAGAAAAACGAGTTTGTTTTCCTTGCACTATAGTGTTCCTTTAAACCTTGTTTATTTGGCCCTTGTTAGCCTTTGAGTTTGACATGCTTGCACAACGGGATCCTTTTTGTCAGTCATAGTTTTTATTGAGGCATAATAACAGAAGTTGAACAATGCGACATTTATGCAGAGACATGAAGTGGATGTACAAGAATCATAGCAAATTGCTGAACATAAGTAACCAGACATATCACACATGGTATTTTAAGGTTTCATTTTAAATTAGAATTAAAATAAAACAATAAAAATAACAGTTCACTATGTAGAAAACACAAGAAAAGGGAACAAGCTACTTTTATGCACTTAGCGTATTGTAAGAGAGAATAAATGTGAGCATGCTTAATAACCATTAAACCACACAAAGCGTTCCACTCTATACTGTCCCCCAGGTATTATGCGATCATTCAGATAAGTGAGACATAAAAGGAAACGATTATAAAGTAAATTAAAATCAAAGATATTTCCTTTAAGAGGTGGTAGAATGCTGCAGTATGTGTGGCGAGCTGTTCAGCCTTGCTTGTTGCGAGCTGGATACAGTCCACCAGGTTCATGGAGATCTTCAGGCTCAGTGCTGAATGTGTAAGGAGTTGGTCCCGTAGCTCTTGTTGGTGTCTGCTCTACAACTCTTCCTGCTGTGTTAACCCCATACTTGTCTCATATTTACTAAGATGCCATGTTGATTTTGGTTTCTGCTTTGCTCAGGCCTGGACTTTCGGGACAGTCAGTAAATGCAGCACCACCACAGCATCTCAACATGTCTGGGAAGCCTTCATGGATGGAACCAGGATCACCCTCACCGGTCCAATAGGAGAGGGGGTTGCGGGGTGCCAGCGTCCATTTGGTGGAATTTTGCCTGGGCTGTGCCGGGAGACCAGCTGCCTTTCTCAAATGGCGGTAAGAAGCTTCGGACAAACAGCAGCAAATGACTATGGGAAGTGTTCTCAGGCCGGTATGTCTTTTAGGCGGTACAAGAATAGGTTTTTAGAAATGCCAATAAGTGAAGTTTATGCACAGTTTTGTTAGGCGCTCCTGTGAAACACGACCTATCGCCATGACAGTAAAAAAAACCTAATCCCTTGCAGTATAGGTCTTACAACTTACAAATAACTAATCAAAATCCTAGACATATTGGCATTCAGTGCAAGTGAGTGAATGTATCTTTAGTTATTATTAAATAGTTGCACTAGTTATGTTTAAATAATTATAAGCCAAATAGTAAGAAAAAAAATAAATAGAAAATGGCCTAATGCCTGATCTGTACCTTAAAAAAAAAATTATGCACATGGATGACATTTTAAAGAAAACATTGTATAGCAAAAGTGCCTAAGAAGCCTTCATCCCAAGCACAGGGAATCCCTGAAAAGCTTTGGTAATTAAGGGGTTATAAAACTTACATATGGAATACATGGAATGTTGCGTATTCAGGCATTTTAGTATCATAGATAAGTGGAGAAAAATGTCTGCAGAAATAGTATGTTATTGGAGGGAGCTTTTATCAAAGCCAATCTTTAAATGTTAGAATTTCAATATATATGAGATTGTGCGAATATAATCAGACTATAATGTGAATGTTTATAAATAAATAAATACAACATAAACAAATTATATTCAATCATTCCAAATTCCATTATCTGTAAGGCAAAAGAACATGTGCATGAAGATGGAATACCTTTTTCAACAGGTCTTTTTCCTTTTCACTATAGATTTGTGCCTTTTCTTTTTCCGACAACACTTGTGAAATTTTCTGCTGTTCAAAATTAGACTCCGTTTGACGCAGAGCATCCCGCAATACTTTAATTTCTCCATTCTTTATAACTACTTGGTCTTGTAGTTCCTTCATCTGCAGAACCAAAACAATATAAAAAATGGGCTTGCATCTAGCAATCAAATGACAGAATAATTAACACAGAAAAAGGCTAAATATTGCGCGAAGAGTGCGCAGACTATTTTGTTCAACTACTACGACTTAACCTTTTCCCTCTCTTTCTATTTTTTATTTTTATTTTTTTCAGTTCACCAACAACTCTGTGTTGTATAGCTGGCAGCCTTTCATCCTTCCGAGGTAGATAAAATGAGTATCATTAAATTGGATAATAGTAACATCCCCTGGGTGCTGGGCTAAGGTAATATCCCTAGGACGTACTTGAAAACCAGAGTAATCTGAATGCACCTTTCCTGGTTAAATACGTTGTTGTTGTTATTATTATTATTATTATAACTTGAAATCTTAATTTATATACACTATTTGGATGAAACAGTGACCTCTAGTGATCAGCCAACGGAAATACATCAATAGTGAATCATCTGGCCTAAGGGTTTTAGTGACTTTTCTAGACTATGAGAGAAAGCTAAAACAAGTGCTTTAGGTAATTTGCAATTAGTTTGCTACATGTGCATACACAGATCATTTTGTTGATGTATTGTTACTTTTCTCCTTCTTGATTTATTTCTTGAATAACCAGTAATTCTGTGCTGTAACAGGCTGACAATTAATTGTGTTATTCCGATTTCCTACACTATTTATCTGGTGATAGAGAATAGGGAACAGTCATTACAGCATTTTAGTGTACTTTGTATGTGACTATTTGTGTATATATTTAGCTTGTTTAGATTTCCCAACTTTACTAATATACTCTTCCATTTGGGTTCATATTCTGGGTTTTTTAAGGTATCCATTATTAGAGAATTTGCAAAATGTAATAATGATGGTACGGAGAGCATCGATGACTACTATGGATGGATACTATAGGCCTCAAAACAACTTTAGCTTAATGAAGCAATAGATCATGCCCTCGCAGTCTCTCTGCTCAATTTCCTGCCATTTAGCAGTTAAGACACTTGTGTTTCTCTGTATGCAGTCCTTTTCACACCCCCTGGCTGTGACTGAAGCAGCCTGCATAGAAAATTGTTTCATCACTAATCAGATGCTAACTTGCTTTAGAAGTTTTTGTCTCCTTCTCTGTAAGTTGAACTTTAATCACAGACAGGAGGCTCCTGAGTGGTACAGAAGGCTATTAACAGAGGTAGAGATAAGAAATTCCAGATTAAACAGACTGTGCAATACAGGATAGAACCACAAACAGAAAAGGGATACGGCTGTACAGTCTATAGAGAGAACATATAAAGAAAAAACACAATAGTGTAATACAGTATATACAGTGAATTGTGCGCTTTAAATGGATGCACTCACAAGATGATGGAAATAGAAGAGCATTCATAAGGTGCCTCCCCAGATAATATGTGGGGCTGGTGGTTCCCCTTATCAATGTAGAGCAGCCAATGGAACACGTGCAATACAGGAACCTAGAATATCTGATATTCAGTGAATATCAGTGTTTAGGGAGGCTGTGCAAGTTAGATGCAGGGAGGTGACTAGAGCTGCATAAACAAAGCGATTAGACTCCTAAATGGCAGAGAATGGAGCAGTAAGACTGCAGGGGCATGTTCTATACACCAAAACTGCTTCATTAAGTTGAAGTTGTTTTGGTGACAATAGTGTCCTTTTGAGGATAATACATTACAAAGTGAAGGATCTCAGTCTATCATTTAGTAAACTCTATAGACTATTTAAAGGCTATTACAGAAAGGGATTCACGTTATCAATATTGGTACTTAGTTACTCACTTACGTCGAACAGAAATTTATTTATTTTTATCCTCCATGACTTTAGAGGTTGGCTTAACGATAAATATGTTTTAATATGAAGTGTTTTTGTTTACATACGGTTTATTTAACCCCTTTACGACCGGTGACGGTTCAGGACCGTCATTGAAAAAATCCCCTTGATGAACGGTGACGGTCTTGAACCGTCATAATGGTAATATGTATTTACCTGATCACCGTCGTTCCCCCTGTGGGGATCGACATTGATTCCAGTGTGGGGAGACTGCCTGACAGACCAGGCAATCTCTTGCGGCAAAATAGGATGCGCGGCCACGTCATCGCTCAACAGAGCAGTCACATGGTCACAATAGGTGTCCAAGTGTGTGCCTGCAGGGGGACTGCCTGTGCTGACAGGCAGTCTCCCTGCAAGTGTAAAATAAAAAAAATGTTAATGTTAATACAAATATAATTATATATCTATATATAATGTCATACTAAGTGTATTTTTATACTAATATATACATATATTAATATAAAAATACACTTATAATCAAATCACACACACACACACACATATATATATATATATATATAATACAAATAAGTAAGTTAAAATAAAAAAAACGAACTTAAAAACAATAAAAAAATTACATACATATATAAAACACAAGACATGGAGTTAGCGTATTACGGTAACATTACACAAATATATATATATATATATATATATCTATATTTATTTATATTTGTGTTCAGGGCTATTTCAATATAGTATGAAATAGCAAGTGAGTATACTTATCACAATAATAATAAAGTCGGTAGAGGTGTGCCGAAACCGACATGTGTGGTAGGCCTGTAAATAAGTGGGCCTACCTTAAATAGTATTGAATAGAGGGAGAGGAGGGTGGGCCAAAAGAACGTCTAGACCAGCAGGTAAGTAAGGAGGGGGATCTCAGTCTATCATTTAGTAAACTCTATAGACTATTTAAAGGCTATTACAGAAAGGGACATAGCCCCTCCCACAACTTCAGGCCCCGAAACCGACGTGTGTGGTAGGCGTGTAAATAAGTGGGCAAAAGGAATACCCATATAGTGTTAAAGATATTTATACGAAAACACAAGACATGGAGTTAGCGTATTACGGTGACATTACACAAATGCATTTCTTAATTTCTGTGTCGGCTGAGGTATGCCTTGTAGGTGGGGTAATACTGCATAAGCACCTCGTGACCCCTCTGGCTGGTCTTAGTTGATGGTAAGCTTAAAGGACCACTCTAGGCACCCAGACCACTTCAGCTTAATGAAGTGGTCTGGGTGCCAGGTCCAGCTAGAGTTAACACATTTTTTATAAACATAGCAATTTCAGAGAAACTGCTATGTTTATGAAAGGGTTAAGCCTTCCCCCAAATCCTCTAGCGGCTGTCTCATTGACAGCCACTAGAGGCGCTTGCGTGATTCTCAATGTGAAAATCACAGTGAGAGCACGCAAGCGTCCATAGGAAAGCATTGATAATGCTTTCCTATGCGACCGGCTGAATGCGCACGCAGCTCTTGCCGCACGTGCGCATTCAGCCGACGGGGAGGAACGGAGGAGGATCGGAGGCAGAGAGCTCCCCGTCCAGCGCTGGAAAAAGGTACGTTTTACCCCTTTTCCCCTTTCCAGAGCCGGGCAGGAGGGGGACCCTGAGGGTGGGGGCACTTTAATACGTAGTGATCCTGTATTTGGACAGGTTAGAATACCGTAGGCAAAGCTTGAAATCGTGTTGCCCAGTGATGGTAAATTCTCTGGGTCATAGGAAACCATAAAAGCCAAGTATATGGCAGTTTTGAGAATGGTGTTTGTAATTGAACACATGTGGTGTAGAATGTCCGGGAGATATAACTTAATAATGTTGTGTGACATTTATTTTGATGTGGCAAAAAAATGTCGAAATCCCCCAATGTTGTATTCTTGAACCAGTTTGTAAGGTGGTGATCTGACATGAACTTAGCTGTATGCCGTAAACTCCTTTATAGTAGTGTGTGTATTCTGTGAGGGCCAACTGTGTGAATTCTTGCTGTGACTGTGCAACTCTTCTATTCCATATGTAATTCATGGAGTTGTGGAGCGATCGTGGCTATCGGTGAGGTAGTTTGTTAAGGACCTCCTGTACGCCTGAAACTGAAGACAAGATAACTGGTCAGCAGCTTGATCGTAAATCCCTTATAGCAGTATAGCAAATGTCTGCCTGGCACCATGTGTGTACGTATGCACTGAGTGTCTAGTGTCTGATTTAACGAAACGTGCGTTGTTCATATAGTGAACGCACCAAAGGAAGCAACACAATATCTGGTCTTTGTCTCAGTCTCTGAACCCTGCCAGGAGAATCAGGATATAAGGCCACTGAATAAAGAGTTTGTAATATGGTTCTAGAATCACGTAAGGAGGTCTGCAGATATAATGAAGACCCACGGTGTGAGTATACGGTATATATACCCTGGGCAATTAGTTCCTGATTAATCAGGTAGCGTTGTAACGTAACTTTTAGTGGTATAATTAACCTCCCGAGAGGAATATCATTCATCATTATGCATATTGTACTTATATCCACATATATAAATAACCAGTCATGTATATTTTTAAAATGAGACTTTGGTCATTCCTAAGCAGTATTTTAATAAATATTGCATCAACACATATAATTAACTTAAAATATGCCAAGTATAATTAACCCCTAGACTGCATTGAGTGGTATGCGTGTACTGCCTCTAGAGGTTACAGCCTGTATTGCCGCCTGCAGTGCTATACTTGGTTGTGCTTTCCGGCTGACCTGCACCTGAGGAGGGAGCGGTTCCCCTTCTGATGGTATGTAAGAGGAGGGTGAGTGAGAAAGGGGGGCCGAGGAGGGAGCGGAGTGTACTTAATACTGTAACATAACACGATTTATAGATATGAGCGCTGAACATGAGAGACACATTGGCTGACATTGTATTTTTATGAAAAAGACAAACATTGTATATATGCAGCCAGCTTCCAACCGAACCATAACTGGCTTAATTGTTTCTACAGTATGTGCCTCATTACGCCTACCTAAGTGCAAGAATGTTAGGGAGGAGAAAGTGTGTTGTTGGAGAATGTCAGCTTCTTTCCACAGATTAGGTCTGTATGTTTTGCATACTGTATGGTATGTTTTTTGTTCAAAGATGAGATTGATTATGTGCAGCATATTCTAGCCCTGCTGGCTTTCATTAGAAGCTGGGGGTTATAGCTCAGTGACTCTAGCTCTGCCGGGTATTTGTAGGCCATGACTGCCTTGAGAGTGATGGGAGTAGTTTCCCTATCATATGTAACCTGTCTGCCTGCTTGTTTAAAAGAGGCAGGCAGGCTGATGTACCGAGATCCTGTGGCTGTATCTACGGGTATACGCCGGTATATGGAGGAAGAAACCGGGCTTTAGATGCACCTTGTTGGTAATCCACCACCCTTAACTGTCCCTGAACCTTCCTGTGACACTCTGCCACAAAGAGACTTGCTAACGCAAGCCGGTGGAGGCAGTTTGCAGGGATACCCCAGACCTCCGTGACCTGCGGTCAGTCCGTGGGTGGTCTGCCGTATCTCTGGTGTGTGTAACACACCGGCGGGTCAGGCTAGGATTAACATGCAGACGGGTACGATACCAGTCTGCTGTACTCACTATTTGGGCAAGCAAGTCCCGTAACGGACGGCAGAGTGTTTGGCGGAGTGAAACAACCGACCAGCTGTTAGGAGAACTGAGTGCTGCGAAAAACAAACGTTCAGTGCTGGAAACTGGAAGTGCCGTCAACCAATCAGTCAAAAGAACGTCTAGACCAGCAGGTAAGTAAGGAGGGGGACTCCCTTTTAAAGGGACAAATCCCCTCCCACAACTTCAGGCCCCGCCTTCCAATATATGAAATTTTATTCTGTGTTTTTTATATTTATATCAAAATACACTTAGAATGAAATATTTACATCTATGTATATATAAATAAATCAAAATACAAAATATATATATATCCATATGCAAAATTACTTAAATAATTTTATAAATATACATGTAGACTTCAAATATATAAAATATGCATTATATATATATATATATATATTTATTATTTTTAATTTTTTTTTAATTATACGTGCGTATTTATGTAATATTTTTACATAATTAAGTAATTTTCTTGATTGCAATTTGAGGGACCTGCTTGACAACCTAGGCCGAAAGTCCAGAGAATTTAATTTGCTAGCACTGTATTTAATCCTGTAACTTTCCATGACACCCTAAAACCTGTACATGGGGGGTACTGTTTTACTCAGGAGACTTTGCTGAACACAAATATTAGTTTCAAAACAGTAAAACATATCACAGCGATGATATTGTCAGTGAAAGTGACTTTTCTTTGCATTTTTCACACACAAACACCATTTTCACTGAAGATATAATTGTGGTGATACATTTTACTGTTTTGAAACAGTAATATTTGTGTTCAGCAAAGTCTCCCGAGTATTATAGTAACCGCATGTACAGGTTTTATAGCGTTTTTGGGTTACAGGGTCAAATATTTTTACATTGAAAATTGCCAGGTTGGTTATGTTGCCTTTGGGACCATATGGTAGCCCAGGAATGAGAATTACCCCCATGATGGCATACCATTTACAAAAGAAGACAACCCAAGGTATTGCAAATGGGGTATGTCCAGTCTTTTTTAGTAGCCACTTAGTTACAAACACTGGCCAAAATTAGCGTTCAATTTAGTTTTTTACTTTTTCCACACACAGACAAATATGAACACTAACTTTGACCAGTGTTTGTGCCTAAGTGGCTACTAAAAAAAAGACTGGACATACCCCATATTGAATACCCTGGGTTGTCTACTTTATAAAAATATGTACATGTGGGGTGTGATTCAGAGAATTTTATGACAGATAACAGTGTTACAATGTCACTATTGATACATTTTAAAAATATATATATTTTGAAACATCAATTTCCTATTTGTACTTACAGCCCTATAACTTGCAAAAAAAGTAAAACACTGGGTGTTTTTAAACTCAGGTCAAAATTTTGAATCTATTTAGCAGTTTTTTTTTTATTAGCTTTCATAGGTAAGTAAAAGATTTTTCAAGCAAAAGTAAAAAAAAATAAAAAAAAAATAATGTTTTTTTCAGTTTTTCACCATATTTTATTTTTTAAGTAAAGTATATGACATGATACAAATCATGGTATGTAAAGAAAGCCCTTTTTGTCCTAAAAAAATAATATATAACTTGTCTGGGAACGGTAAATGAGAGAGAGGAAAATTACAACTAAAATCAAACACCACAAAAGTGTTAAAAGAGCCCTGGTCCTTAACGTACAACATGGCCAAAACAGGCCGGGGTTAAGACACAGACAAAAGGCTACGTTTTTGTTCCACACTAAAAATCCACATTTAATAAATAAATAAAAATATATCATATATATATATATATATTTTAACCCAGTAAATCATATAAAGAGTCAACTGAGCAAAATGTCTTACAACAGAAATTGGGTAATTATCAAGAATGAAATATAATAAAGCCAGAATAATTGGAAGTCACATCACTCCTTTTGGGCAATTAGAGTAAGAGAGTTTTCTGTTTAATATAGAATTAGCTGTGTACAATAATAAAATCCTACCTTCTGCTTCAGATCTTCATAATCAGTTTGCAAACCCTTCTGTTCAAAGATATATTTATCTTCATAGGACTCTATAGAAATAAATTTGTATATTAAAATTCAAGGATAATCACAATTATTCAATCCTGAAGCAACTAGGTACTTTAACAGACATGATTTGCTCTGTAACAAATTATTTTTAAAAGCTACATGACAAGTATGGCAAATAAGGCATGAACTTTACAAGGGTGCTGCTAAGTGGGTAAACAATCTGGGGCTTAAACCATAAATATATATTTGATATCCCCTCCTACATTTACCCTAAATCCGCTCAATCTCCACCCAATGTCCCGCCTCACTCTCTGCCGATAGATATACATTCATATACACACACACACAAAAAAAAATTAGATACAAAATAGATACAAATTGTTACACATACTCAGAGAAACACACACACTGGTACACATATATACGCAATATTACACATATACAAGCTCAAACACACACAAACCATGAAAATAAGGACCACTTAATAGAACTCACCAGGCGTTTTTCTCTCAATTATATATACTTTTTTTGACTAGGCAATAATTTTGTAAGGGAGCCTTTGCATATTGTAACTAGATTTGTATCACTGCGAGTAAGCATTTGTAACTGGTTGTGTTCAAATAGAATCCTTTATGGCATTTAGATCTGCAAGCAGTTTTGCCAGATTATTAATGGGGCGCTGTGAGACTGTTTTCCTATTTAACCCACATCATAGACCTTACCATCTTGAAAACTTTAATTTGAAATGAAATGCGTATCTACAAGGTCTGCTCCGCTGAGGCACTGAAGGTTACGGTTCTGTTATTTTGCCATTTTTTTTATTTAACTCTAACTGGTAAAATACATATTTTGTATATTTTCCTTTTTTGATGACTTGCCTGTCTTCACAGATACACAGACTGTTACACATACTCATAAATACACACGCACACACTGTTACTCATATGCACACAATCAAGACCCCCTTTGGAAATTTTGGGGCCCCTTACAGAGCTCAAGGCTTGGCTTATATACTCCTTGAGCAGTCAGTTCAATGCCACGACTGGATGGTGGCCCAACACACAATATTATACATGTACACACTCACAGAGTGAATTTCTCTCACAAGCCCCGGCATTCAGATCTAACAGTAATAAATTACAAAAGAGTCAGCCCCCTTCCTCTCACCAACACCCCTACTATAATTCCTAATGTCTGCACAGTAAGTCTCACTTCATAACAAGAATTGTTATATAATATGTAAACATGCCATAGTAACAAACATACAACACAGTACAGTTACCAGACATTCAGGCACTGCACTGTTATATTTGGTAAATCAAACTGTACAAATTAACATTTTTCAGTGACTAAAGTTACATTTAATTCAGAGTCATTTTTAATCACAAATATTCAAGTAATTTGACAAAGTAGAAGTGAGTGACATTTTCTGGAAAACTAGCGTAAGTAACAAGCGATATACAGGGTTAATCACTTAAGTCTGAGCGGAACTATATTGAATAAGGCAAAACCATTTGGTGTAGTATGGGGCCATTGGAACTGCAAAATTCAGACATTGCTCACACTATTTAACAGTGCCCAGATTTTTCAGAGCAGGCCCCAAATGAGCCTGAATTTCATCCGTACCAAAAGCTGCCAAACAGCTGATATCTGTGCCAAGATATTACAAATACCCCTGTGACCCTCATACACATTTTTATATATTTCTTTAAAAAAAAAAAAGCATCTGGCTAGCAACCACATGGTTAAACCTCGCTCTGCCTAGAATATATACCTATTTGCCCACTGAATACATGCGCTTCAAGTGGACAAAGAGTACTTACAGGGACACTCCAGACCTTTTGAGCACTTCATTTTGCTGAAGTGCTTTATGTGTGTCTTCCTTTCTCTTATAAGTTAACCTTGTTACACCCCCACAGCTGTTAATCAGACATCCTGATTTATGATTTCTTGGTTTGGTTAGCACAGAGGAGCTAAACTCAAAACGCAGGCAATTGCTCAGAGCACATGCCTTGCACAGACTTTCTCATTGAGCTCCATTGGGAAGTCTGTGATTGCAAGCCCTCGCCTTCAAACTCAGACTTTCTGTGGCTGGTCTTCAGAATCTTTTTTCAGGTATTTCTATTTTAAACCCATTAGCCATTTTTCTGAACAAGTTATTGACCAGCTTTGAACACGCATAATATGTGTCTTTAATAAAATACCCAGATTTTACTAATATCATGACGTAAAGACACGGAGACGAGTATTGTTCCCCCCCCCCCCTCCATTAAACTATCTCTACTGGGATACAGTAAGTAGATTGTTTGTTTCCATGGCTATGATGTGTTTCATTAAGGGTAAGGTGATTGCGTTTGACACGTAGTGCATGGTTTCTAATATTTATGTTGCTTACTAACCTATTTGACTACCGATTTCATATACTTACCTATTGGTTACTATAATTGTGGGTGATGAGGATTGCGCATACTTGGTACTCCCAGTTATTACCATACTGTTTCTTTTCTTTAAGCCTAACTTGCTTCACGGACAACTTCCCTGAAAGTTCAAAACTTTGATACATGGTTCTACAGTTCATTGAAGTTTGTCCTGCTATTTGGATTATATTGTTCCGCCAAGTTGGAATTGATTTAGCTTCGGGATCAACAGAAAGAGGAAATGGAGAGATAGGTCCTGCCTTAAATAGGATTGAGCCTGTATTTCATTGGATGATGTGTTGTTATGCATATGATCTATGTACAGGATGTTTTATTTATTTTTTTCCAACTATGTTTTTTCAGCTATGTTAATGTTATCTTGCTTTACTGCGGAGGGAATTAAAGGATGAGTGCAGCATAATATGACCCTCCGTGTCTTTAATAAAATCATGACTTTGTGTCATGATATTAGTAACATCTGGGTATTTTACACATTTTGATGTGAGATATGCATTTTAACTTCTTTAACCCCTTAAGGACACATGACATGTGTGACATGTCATGATTCCCATTTATTCCAGAAGTTTGGTCCTTAAGGGGTTAAAGACCCAAGAATTTAAAAATAACATGTAGAGTTCCACCAACTAGAAATAGTAAGCAATACATATACCAGATATTTCACCTACCTAGAGGATCACTAGGTGGCCTTTGCTGGCAGGTTTGGTGTGTGGTTTTGTTTCCGATGTTGGTTGCTTGTTTGTTTGTTAATTTTCTGCTTTGGATGTGATCAGTATGGCAATCCGTCACTTCTGAATCCTGTGTGTATGCTTGTGAGGCCAAAATGTCAATCTCCTCAAGATCATCAGCTGTAAAATCTTCATTGTCACAGAAAGGGTCTGCCATTGTTTTTATCTCTGGCACAGTGTCTGTCCTATAACGCTTTGGTGGTGGGCACTTGCTTCTGTCATTGTTTGTGATGTCACTAGCTTGCTGCGCGTTAAAAGAGGTGCTTGAACGCAGATGCCCACCCCCAAACAATGTTGAGTTGTCTCTCTTCTTACTTGAAAAAAGGGGGTTTGCTGACATGATCTCCAAGCATGGAAATCTAAATATGATATTACAAAAATACTTGTGATTAACAGACAATAACACAGCAGAAATTAGACCAAAACCATCAGAATAGTTCATGCTTATTTTAACTTAAAATTTACAATACTGTTGTCAATTTAAAAAAACTGTTAAATAGAGACGATGCTTAAATATGCCACATAAGTAGGGGCAAGAGAAACCTGTGGCAGTGTCTGATAATATTTACTAATGTAGTGAGTGAAAGGCAAAAGGAGACATGAATTTTTTTTTAAAGAAAAAAATAAGGGATATAGATATTGAAATATTATTCATCAACTGCATTTTGTTCTGTGATTTAAAGTACAAAAACATAAAAACTAATCCAGGTTTTGAAAATATGCTCACAACAGAGTTAAAGGGAATATATATTCCTTACTTGAAAAAAATATAGCTCATAATACAGTGAATCCCAGAGAAAAGCTAACAAAACAAGTTAAATGCAAATGGTGAAGGGCTTAAAGCACAGAGCAAGCTCCTACTTTATCAGGAATATCCATGTAAAAAAAAAAAAAGCACGAAATTAGATTTATTTTCTTTGAGTGCAACGCAAAGCTCCACACAACACATACATTATCACTGTGATAGGCAGAGTTACTTGGCGTCCACTGTACAGAAAGATACAATAAAGATGTACAATTACAGTACATCTATTTCCGTGTAATACTTACGGTGTAGATTAGTGCGCAGGCGCCAGGGACTCGCTCTATGCGCAGGCGACAGAGAATAGGTTGAGTGCGCACGCGCAAGAAAAAAACAAAACAAAACCCTCTATTCCTTCAAGTGACGGCGGGTAGTAACTACATTCTGTGACGCTGAATCTTGGCGCCAAAAAGCTCTGGGATGAAAATCATGAAGTGTAATTGTGTGCCAAAGTTCTAAAAGTGGAACAGAGAGCAGGAACACTCCCTTTTTTCTATGGTGACTAAATATTTATAGAATTTTGTCCCAGAATAATACTTAATGTTGCAGGGAGTTATAAATGGAGCTTGGCACCATATGGCAGTGTCGGATAATATTTGCTAATGTACTGAGTGGCAAAAGGATACAGGAAAAATTAGGTAGAAAGTGTAAGAGCAAGAAAAAGTAGAAAAGCATAGAAATGAGCACACTGCTGCTGAAAACAAAATGCATTAAAGGTCCAATAAATGTTGCCAGACCACTTAATTTAAATAGCCATTAGAGGGCAACAACTGAATGAAACTTTGTCATGTGACCAAATGCAGTATTGAATTCAATGGTTTCCTATGAAAAGCACTTTATCTGGCGCACACACTTATCGTTGAGGAGCACTGTATTGGACATTTGTTGTGGAAGCCGCGCCTGCATGACAAAAATGTGTGAGGTGGAATGGCCACACCACCAAGGGAATCTGGGCGCTGGAAAAAAGGTGTTTTTTAAAACTTTTTTTTAAAATTGATATTGCCTTCGTATAAAACTATTTGCCTAATCCATAGACCATAAGAAAGCAAATGCAATGTTAATTCAGTGCAAAATTTACATCTGTCGTCGTGCTGGCGACAGGTGTAATTGGCTTCTTTGCATTGTATGTGCACAAATTGTGAAAGCACACAGTGTTGAAATGTCTCCGTTTAGTCTTTGAACTCTCTCCCACCCTAAAGCCAGTTTCATCACCTCCCTTAATACATTATAGGTTATGTGTCCCTTCCCCCCCACCACCTGTCCAACCTTACTTATTTTTTCTAAATTGAGCTGTCATTCACCTCATGATTGTGCGCATGCTCGGTGTACCATTTATTCCTTCTGATAGAGAAGCATTGGATTCAGTGCCCTTCTGTGAAACGAGTATGACAATGACACATGGTGATGACAAATGTTGAGATCCAAGAGAAGTTGGTCCATTGAATTTTACAACTTTTTACCAACAAACATGGGGGTGGGCTAAGTCAGAAGTCCACTACTAGAAGATAAAAAAAAAAAAAAGGGACTCACTGACTGACACACACATTCACTCACAGACACACACACACACACTCACTTAGACATACACACATTTCCACCAACACTCACAAATTATTATTTTTTACATTTTATTTTAAATCCACCCAGCCTCCCTGGAAGAGCTGGAGTGGATTGCTTACCTGTGGTCCAGTGGGGCTGCTGCGCGGGCAGGCAGGGGGCGGACAGGCTGAGTAGGCGGCGAGGGAGCTTTAATCTTCCTGCTCAGCTCCCTTGCACGCCGCTTAGTGATGCCAGGAACTGGAGTGACATCATATTCCGGCTTCTGTAAGTGGTGCGTGAGGGAGCTGAGCAGGAAGAATTCAGGTGAGAATGCTTCCTCGCCGCCCAGCTCGAGGGGCTCAAATGTGGCCACCCGGCCAGCTCTTGGGCCCCCAGGACACAAGGCTAACAAGGGATCTGCCTGGGCGTTTGGGGACGGCTTTTTTTGCCGCTCCCTGCAAAGTGCCGCCCAACGCATTTTGCCTCGTGTAAGATACGTCCCTGCCAAGAAGGCATTACTAGCAGCCAGGGCTGCCATCAGAAATTGTGGGGCCCTTGACAGTAGCTCAAGGTCTGGACTCCTGGGGCCTACCCCCAAGTCTGCCCACAGGGCTCGCCCCCAAGTCTGTCCACAAGGATGAAGTGTGAGTACTGAATGTGGTGTGTGTAGTGGATGCAGATTGTATGTTTGTGTAATGTATGAAGTGTTTGTGTGCATTAGATGCAGACTGTGTATTTGTGTAGCTAATGTTTGTATAGTGAATGTAGTGTGTGTAATGAATACAGAATTTGTAGGTATGTAGTGTGTATAGTGAATGTATTGTGTGTGGGGTATGTAGTGTGTGTAGTGACTGCAAAGTGTGTGTGTGTAAGAATGTGTGTGTGTAGTGACTGCAGAGTGTGTGTTTGCAGTCACTACACACTATATCCTTACACAAACACACTGCACACTCTTTCAGTTTGGGTTTGACCCATCTGTAGTGCTGCTATGGATATATCCGGGAAAACAGAAAATGTATTCCGTACTTACCAATGTATTCGTTTCCCGGATATATGCCATGCCATGCTATGCTATGCCAGCACTACAGTCCCCCCCTTATTTGGATTCTTGTTTCTTCTTTTGCACTAAGACTGAGGGGATAGGGGATAGAGTCTCTCATTTATTGTTAAATTAGGAGGTGTTCCTGTCCAAATAAGGAGTGAGAGAAGCTATACCCATCTGTCGTGCTGCCATATCCTATAGCTTTGAATCAATGCCTTTCTATGGGGTTTTTGCAAGATACTGGACATCATAATGCAAAGCGTAGGGATGTCCTGCGTTGTTTAAAAGAGTTAAAGTCCGTGAAACAGCAGGAAGCGCCTCTAGTGGCTGTCTAGTAACCAGCCTCTAGAGACAGTTTTAACCCTGCAATAGAAACATTGCAGTTTCTCTAAAACATGAATGTTTTTACTTGCATGGTCAAGGGGACAGGGACATTGCACCCAGACCACTTCACTGAGATAAAGTGGTCTGGGTGCTTTAATGTAATAACAGTGAAATCCTGTATGTAATTAAAATTCAATTTACAGAGCAGGAAATAAAAACTTTAAAAATAAGTTACATCTGATTGAAGTGAAATCATATTGTTTTCATGCAGGCTGTGTCAGTCACCACAAGGAGAGGTGTGGCTAGGGCTGCATAAACAGAAATAAAAGTGGTATGATCGATACACAAAACTGCTTCATTAAGCATTAAGCTTCATTAAGCTAAAGTTGTTCTGGTGATTTTAGCGTCCCTTTAAATGAATGGTTAGTGGTGTCTGGTAGAGAAATTCCTTAATCTACCAGAGACCTGTAATCATCCCTAGACTATAAATCTGGGTAAATGAGGCTTTATGGATTAAATGCCATTATGCAAAGTACTTGAAATTAAAAATGTTTATATTTGATTCTGGTAGTAAATGGATTAATGGCTGATTATATATCCATACATGTGCCTTTATCATCAGTAAATCTAGGTAAGGGCTGCATCCTGCTAGATCCATTCATATTTTACACAAATACATGTATTTCATGTTGAGGTCATGCATATTTCCAAACTTCTTTACACACCTGAATCTGAAGGTACACTTCCATGATTGGAACACTGTCCTAGATGTTTTTGATTGTCCTGCTTCTGGAGAGATCATAATTTCTGGTACGAGTGGATCTTTAATAATCTGTGCATTGTTCCAGGAAAATGTAGTTGTATTGTAAGAGACCAATAGAACAACAGAGCGTAATATAATTACGTTTAACCTGTTCTGCTTTGTTTATTAAAGAGTTACTTTAATAATTTTGAGTTGGGGACCTTTTCTGGGTACAATGCCCTATTGGACACTATGAATAGGCCCTCCCGCTCCTGTTAAATTTTTTTTTTTTTTTTTTTTTAAGTTTTACTTAAAGGACCACTTTAGTGCCAGGAAAACATACTCGTTTTCCTGGCACTATAGTGCCCTGAGGGTGCCCCTCCCGCCGGGCTCTGGGGAGAGGAAAGGGGTTAAAACTTACCTTTCTCCAGCGCCTGGCGGGGAGCTCTCCCCCGCCGATCCTCCTCCTCTCCTCCCTTTCGGCTGAATGCGCACACGCGGCAAGAGCTGCGTGCACATTCAGCCGGTCTCATAGGCTATTTCTATGTTCTATGATAGATTGTATAGATTTGTCAACCTAGCATTTCATCAACCGGATTTGTTTTTGCAAGTATGTGAGATTGGTCAAGTGAGAGATAAAATGTTTTGTTTTTTCCCCCTTGACTTTTAAACTTGAAAGACATTTTAACCCCTTAAGGACACATCACATGTGTGACATGTCTTGATTCCCTTTTATTCCAGAAGTTTGGCCCTTAAGGGGTTAAGCCCCTGTGTAGTGGTAATGGTGCCAGCATGCACATGGTGCCATGCCTTTGTTTGAACTGCTTTTCAAATGGGTTTGGAGGGATTAAGGCGTTAGTAGGAGGAGTAGTATTTATTATATTCTTATGTCTCTTTCTGCCCTGCCTAATTCCATTAGTGCTCAGATCCATACGTAGTATCATAGAGAGTACTATATAAAGAAAGACAGCTGCTCATGTAATTGCTGTCTATAGATATGATGGGGGGCAGATTGTCCAAGGGATGGGAAGTCCGTGTGTTAAGTGAAGTGTGGTCTGGGACTGAGGGACCCGTCGCTCGTTGGGGAGTACTGTTCGTGGTAGGGGGGGTTAATGCCTTCTGGTGTGTGAGTAGGGCTTTGGCTATGTGAGGTGGGTCTGTCAACTGTGTCTGTGTGGTTGGGAGTCTGGGGTCTGGTTGTGATAGTCCATGTGGTCTCTGAGACTCTTTGGATGCCTTTGGTGTCCGGGTTGGGTATTGCGGGTTTATGGTGTCCTGTCGGGGCATTGCGATTCTCTGGCTGGGTCTTGTGTAATTGTTTGCGTGTACCGCCTGTGTTAGTTAGTACCGCCGTTGGACTGTCGCCCTTGTGTTGTGTGGGTTTCGGTGTGCTATGTTGCAGTGTAATACCTTATTTGTGTAAGGTAGTGGTAGTGTAGGTGGGTCTTGTCTGTCGGGTGGTTCGTGTTGACAGCGATCTCTGCAAGTAGCGTTAACATAAAATCATAACAACAAGTTAGGAAATCAAGAAAATAAAACGTAAACTTAGGATGTGCAACCAGTGAGTTTAACCAACCCAGTGAGGGTTAGCTGCAAGTCTGTCTTTGTATGCCTCTAGGAGAGTTCAAGTAGTGGATGTTGCTCCCCGAGGTATGATGTTGCTCCCCGAGGTATGAATGGGATCTCTGCTGCTGGGTCCCATGTGTTGGGTGGGGAGGTAGTAGGGCCTGGTTGTGCCATGGTCAGAGCGTCCTTCGGTAGCCCCAGAGTGGGGAGAAGAGCCCGTGCCTTCTGAAGGTCACGGACCGAGTGTGTTACGGTACCGTGCTGGAGTTCTGGCGTGCGTTGTATTTTCCATCTGTACATGATGCCTTTAGATCGGAGGAGGGAAGTATAGGTCTGGAGTGATCTCCTCCATGCCATTGTGCTCCCAGATAAGTCTGCAAAGAATGTGAGCAGCATGCCTTCGAAGGTGTACGGTGTGTGGTTCCAGACGGCGGCCATGACAGCTGCTTTGTCCTTGCTGCTTTGGAATCTGACCAGGAGGTCTCTTGGTGCTGAGGTTGGTGCTTTAGGTGACTTTTGCAGGCGGAATATTCCCTCCAGTCCCACCTGTTTTGCTTTCTTAGGTGATATTAGCGCTGTGAGTAGTCTCCTTAGGAGGTGTGGTAACTCTGTCTCCGGTGTGTTCTCCGATATGCCTCTAATTTTGAGGTTTAGTCTGCGCCCCTGGTCTTCTAGTATTGCAAACCTTGTGTCTGATTTAGCCTGTTGTAGTAGTAGGTCGTGAACTGCCCGTTGGAGTTCCGCTGTTTGTTGGGTGTTATGGCGTGTGTCATTTTCCAGCGCCCCCATGCGGCTTGTGTGGCCTAGTAGGTCTTTCTGGAGATTGGCCATGTCTGCTTGTATTGTGTGCTGGAGGTCTGAGAGCAGATCCCTCATGATCGCCGTTGTCACCGGGGCTGAGTCTGGGTGAGAGGTGGGAGGTCTGACGGCCCTCTGCTCCGGCGGGTATCCTGCTGTTAGCCCCAGGGAGATGTCATCAGAAATCTCTGTGTCGTCGTCTGAGAAATCGGCCATTTTAGGGTCCACGTCGTTCTGGGCCTGGCGCCATAGGTCTCCTATATTCATGCCCATTAGTTTTTCTCCCCATGTCGTAGGGGTCAGTTGCATGTATTTGATGTGTGTTGGGGGTATTATAAAACCCTTTAATTGCAGGTTAAATCGGTTGTCTGCACGGAGCTCATGTAACGTGCGTCCATCCAGGTCAGTGGCTTGGCTCCGCCCCCCCTGATATTTTTTTTTTTTTTTTTTTGCTAAGCCAAACTACAGTATCCAGTAAAATAATGCTTTCATCTGTTGCAAGTTCATGTATTGTCTTAACCCCTTAAGGACAGAGCTTCAGAAGCTTGTCTTTCACTTAATGACAACAGCATTTTTTGCTGTTTACGTTCAACTGCAATTTGCATTTTATTAATTTATTGCACCGACACACATACTGTTTTTTAAAGGACAGAAAGGGCTTTAATTTGATGTCACACATATATATATATATATATATATATATATATATATATATATATATATATATTTGTAAACTTGTATGCTTATTTATTATAAAAAAAATACAGAAAAATGCAAAAAAACTTTAAAAATTTTGTTTTGTTTTTTTTACAGTTTTTGCAATAATAATGTGTGCACAATTAGTGCAGGTTAAGGAAAGTAATTAAAATTAATTTAGTTGTTCTGATTTACAGAATATATAATGTGTCTGGGATTTTAAGGTTTTTGTTTGGTAGTTACAGGTCACAAAGCACAAGGAGTGAAATGCTATTGTGTCCTATTGCTGTACAAAGTTTTATTTTGTGTTCAGTTACATCTGCTGAGTAAAATGACACCCCCATTGTATGTCTTTGGCACTATTTCGTGAAGTTACAGTGCCATATAGGAGACCTGCGTTTTTCAGTATTCACAGTAGAATTTTGAGAGACGGGTTTAATGAGCCTATGCTTCCATTTGGGGTATTATAGTAGTTTGACTGTTCAAAAAACGCCACAAAGGCCTACCATTTGTAAAAGTAGACACTACAGGGTATCTCATAAGGTGCATATTGTGCCTTAACACGCCCCCATTTTTTCACCAATATATGCCAAAGTACGTGGTAAAAAATAATTTTGTGCATTTTTTACATACGGATTGCATTTTTGCTGGGCATTTTGTATATTTCATATGTGCCACTAAATTCAAAACCCCCAAATTATGCTCAGCTAAATCATCTCAGTAAAAAGAAACCCGCAATTAATGTATTAGGCACTATTCCGTGAAGCTACAGTTATTCTGGACCGGCTGCAGAGGCTATGACTGTGTTTTTTCAGGAGCACATGGCGCTCATTGCCCTGATGAGATTATCCATACCAAATCACCTTCCCAGATAGTTTACTCAGTCACAACTCACATGTAAGAAGATCTGGCGGTGTTTATTCGTCATATGATCTGTAGAATGTGCAGTTACGACAGGTAAAAGAACAATTCTTCCATACAGGATAGCAGAGAAACAAGTCACATATGAATGTACAGCATAGAATACACTAGAACAGAAAAAAGGGGAGGGGAGTACCTGGAGCAGCATGCAAACTATGGAGTGGCCCAAGGGACAAACTTAAGATGAACATTAAAGAAACAGTACATTATAATAAAACAATATCATGTAACATGACACTCCCCGCCTGAAATCTTTAGATTTCAAAGCCTATATATATATGTATATAAAGATAAGTCCAAATGTCTAAAAGTCCAACTTGAACCTGTAAGTGAAGAAAACATTGGAAATAATACTGGTGTGTAGACCATAAATACGAGATACCTGCAAACAAAGAAGGTATGCAGTAAATGAACAATAAAACATGAAGTCCAATAACAGATGGCTAAAGTCCTATAGTCTGCAATTTATAGCCGTGGAGCTTCAACAGTGGCATAGTTAACAGTTTCTTCACGAAAACCCCTACTCAATTTCCACTGACGTTACCTAAGAATTGGTACTTCTTCTCCCAAGTGAGTGACTTATGCAAGAGTACCAGGCGGTACGGTGCTATGGCGGGGAGAACGCCACAGCACCGTACCGCCTGGTACTCTTGCATAAGTCACTCACTTGGGAGAAGAAGTACCAATTCTTAGGTAACGTCAGTGGAAATTGAGTAGGGGTTTTCTTGAAGAAACCTTGGAGGCGTCAGCCACAAGCAGCCATGGAGAGCTGCTGGGGATATAGGTCTTGTCCCATAATCAGCAGGATTAAGGTTAGTGGGAATATAATGCCATTGCTTTGGCAGAGAGAACCTTCTGATACATTCTACTCGATTACTGACGTACACGTAAAATTGTTTGGTTTGGTTGTAAATGTATCTAAGCACTATCTTACTGTCTGTGTTAAATGTGTAGGAATCGATTTTAATGTCCATTTCACTCTTTATGACTTCGGCTATTTCCACGGCTAGCACGGCTGCACAAAGTTCAAGTCTGGGGATGGTATGTGCAGGTTTTGGTGTTAGCTTTGCCTTGTCTAGAACAAAATTGCAATGTATGTCTCTATTGATCCCTGAGGTCTTCAAATAGGCCACTGCAGCTATAGCTTCAACTGATGCGTCTGAGAAAATATGGATTTCCCTCTGTTTAGCGGCTGAAATGGAGACTGGGGCATAGCAACGTGGAATTTGGAGCTGTTCTTGTGGCTTCAGAGAACCTCTCCATTTCTCCCATCTTTGTTGTTTCTCCATGGGTAACGGAGTGTCCCAATCTATGTTATCAGTAGTAAGCTGTCTTAGAAGCATCTTACCTTGGGTGGTGACTGGGGCTATAAATCCCAGTGGGTCGTAGATGCTATTCACCATGGACAAGACTCCTCTCTTGGTAAAAGGTTTGTCACAGGTTGACACTTGAAAGGTGAATGTGTCTTCTTTGATGTTCCACAGCAGACCTAGACTTCTCTGCAAAGGAGGCGTGTCTGACTCAAGGTCTTTCACGCTGGCAGCATAGTCCTCAGAGTGAAATGCATTCATTAGCTCTTGGCTGTTGGATATAATCTTGTGGAGTCTCAAGTTTGCTACGGATAGCATCTCCTTTGTTCGGGTGAGAAGATCAATTGCTTCTTTAGCAGTAGGAAAGGATTTGAGCCCGTCGTCTACGTAAAGGTTTCTTTCGACAAATTGACGAGCGTCGGATCCATACTCAGCTTCTCCAAGCTGGGCTGTCCTTTTTAGTCCATAGATTGCTACAGCTGGGGAAGGGCTGTTCCCAAAGACATGCACCCTCATTCGGTAATCAATTACCTCTCTGTTGAGGTCATTGTCCTTGTACCATAGGAACCTGAGGTAGTTTCTGTTGTCTTCCTTGACGATGAAGCAGTGGAACATTTGTTGAATGTCCGCCATAACTGCTACAGGTTCTTGTCTAAAACGAATTAGGACTCCAATCAGGCTGTTGTTCAAGTTGGGCCCTGTGAGGAGCATGTTGTTAAGTGAGATGCCTTCATGTTGGGCACTGGAGTCAAAAACAACTCTGATTTGGTCTGGCTTTCGTGGGTGATACACGCCGAAGGAAGGGAGGTACCAGCATTCTTCTCCTTCTTTCAGTGGAGGTGCGGGTTCAGCATGACCTCTATCAAAGATATTCTGGATAAAGTCTACAAAATGTCTTTCCATCTCTGGTTTCCTGCTTAAAGTACGCTTTAAGGAGGAGAATCTTTTAATGGCTTGATGTAGATTGTTCGGTAGCTTCTCTCTCGGGAGGCGAAAGGGTAGGGGTGCTACCCAACTGTTGGAATCTTCCTGAAAGAACTCGTTGTCCATTACTTTAAGGAATTCTTTGTCTTCTACTGAAGGAGCTAACATGTTGTCTTCACTGCTTGTATTGAAAACTGTAGAGCCAAACCTGTCATTGTATGTGCGGGAAAGGTTTGTGTTGTCATGTTGCAACTTGCAGCTAGTTACCTTCTCCTTTACCCAGTAGTGATGTGGGCATGGCTCAAAGTGAGTATTACGACCATTCGGCAATACGTTTGTCTTGAATGAAGAAATCTTAGTAGGCCTTTTCATTTTGCCTATTTCACATTATCTATGATGACCCAGCCTAAGTCCAGGTACTGGGCAAATGGAGCGTCTGGGGGTCCGCTGACCTGCCTGTGCACCTTGTGGACCCTTAGAATATCTCTTCCCAGCAGAAGAAGGATTTTAGCATTTTTGTCAAGTGGTGGGATTTCACTTGCTATTGACTTTAGGTGAGGGTGGAAGAAGGCAACTTCTGGTGTAGGTATTTCTTCTTTGTTGGCTGGTATCTGGTTGCACTCTACAAGTGTAGGTAAGGGTAATTGTAAGTAATCTTCTAGAGAGGACACAATAAATCCATGTGCCCTTCTTCCAAAGACCTCTGTAGTGCCGCTACAAGTGCCTAAGGTGTAAGGATGAACCTCTCCTCTTATGCAAAATAGATCAAACAGTTCAGATCGGGCAAGTGATCGATTGCTTTGATCATCTAAGATAGCATACACCTTTAAAGTCTTTTCTGGTTGATCCTTATGGTGAACATTCACTAGGCATATTTTAGCACAAGACTTGTCACGGTGGTCTTCCCCACACACTTCCGTGCATGAAGAAAATATCATGGTGGGATTAGCCACCTGATCTGTTATTTTTTCCCGTCGTGATTTGGCCTGGGAGAAAGGTTTGCAAGTAGTGAAGGATTGGACTCAAGTGGATGGAGAGCTGATTAGTGATTAGTGGAAGCACAGCACCTATAACATACCCCAAAGGTCTTTAGGAGTTCCTTTCGTTCTTGTAGGGGCTTCTTCCTAAAGCCGTTACACTTTTTGAGGGGATGTGGCTTCTTGTGGATAGGACATAATCGGTTTGGGTTTTCGATCTTGCCGCTCTTGTTTGAGGCGGGAGCTGAGGTGGGAGCGGGAATAATGTCTGTCTTCTTAACAGACACGGGACCTCTATGGTTCCTGTAGCTGATATGTAGCTTGTCACCTTTCAGTGAGGGAGTACTGAACTCACCAAATGCAAAACTAGGATCGTTCTTGGTGTCAGCAATGTTCTCCCATGCAGCGGTGAGACCTGCAGTTGGATTGTCGATGTAGACTGACCTGAGGCTCTTGACACATTCTGTAGATTGTGGGCCAAGCCACCTGATCAGCAGATCCAGCTCCTCAGCAGCAGTAATACCAAGATCACCTATAGTAGTTTTAAAGGCAGCTTTCCAGCTTCTGTAATTTTCGGGAAGGTCATCAAAGCTTGTCATGTAACATGACAACAGTGCCATATAGGAGACCTGTCCTTTTCAGTATTCACAGTAGAATTTTGAGAGACGGATTTAATGAGCCTATGCTTCCATTTGGAGTATTATAGTAGTTTGACTGTTCAAAAAAAAAACACAAAGGCCTACCATTTGTAAAAGTAGACACTCCAGGGTATCTCATGAGGTGCATATTGTGCCTTAGCATGCCCCCATTTTTTCACCAATATATGCCAAAGTATGTGGTAAAAAATAATTTTGTGCATTTTTTACATACGGATTGCATTTTTGCTGGGCATTTTGTATATTTCATATGTGCCACTAAGTTCAAAACCCCCAAATTATGCTCAGCTAAATCTTCTCAGTAAAAAGAAACCCGCAATGAATGTCTTTGGCACTATTCCGTGAAGCTACAGTGCCATATAGGAGACCAAGCCATATCAGTTTTTACCGAACTTTGAATTTTGACGCTGGGCCTATGTGCAATTTCCAAGCATCTACGCAGGTTTTAAATTCAAACTACCCCACAAAGGCCTACCATTTCTTAAAGAAGACAACCCAGGGTATTTCAAAAGGCATATTTTGAATCTTAGCGAGGGATAATTTTTCCGCTAGCTTGTACCAAGTGTAGTGGTAATAAGCGTTTTTTCTTCCTTTTTTGACACACAAAGTGAGTTTGCACAGTATATTTTGCAAACCTTATGTGTGCTACGACTGTATAATACTTCATATGTTGCTCAGCTATGTGGTCTGAGTACAGCAATACCCCCGTATGTACCTTTGCCAGGTATATGTGGATGTTGAAGGGGCACATTTGAGACGCAGCCATTCAGTTTTTTTCTAACCTTGAAGTTTTACGCTGTGTCCATGTTCCAATTTGGAGTAGTTTAGATGGTTGGTTATTGAAACTTCCCCACAAACACATACTATTTATTAAAGAATACACCCTGGGGTAATTCAAAAAGCATATTTTGAACGTTGGCGTGGGATCATTTTTTCTCTAGTTTGTTCCAGGTGTAGTGGTAATGAGCATTTTTAAATGTATTTTTTTACTTTTTGAAACGTTTTTTTACTTTTTAAAACTAGTTTTTAAACTTTTGTTTTGCTTATTAGTTTTTTTAAACTTTCCTAAACTTTCTTAAAACTTTTTTTTACAGATTTAACATTTTTCTAAGCTTTTTTTACCGTGAATCCTTAACTAGCAGTAAGCAGCACTAACAGTAAATACCCTGTTTTCCCATAACTCCCACCCACCCCAGCTAGCAAAATATATAATTATAAAATATTTAAATTAGTTAATTAAATAAATTGAACCCCTGAGGGTTAAAAAATAAATAAAAGTTCATCGTCAGGGGTTAAAAAAAAATTAGATCACAGTATAATACTGTGATCTGTATTTTGATCACTGTAGGCAGTGATTGACTGGCAGGGAGGGGGTTAATTTTTATTTGGACTGGGTAAAGGGGGGTGTTTTTTTATTTTTTACTTAAGCGTTATTAAAACGTTTTTAACTTGATTTTTAACTTTTTAAAGCTTATTTTAAAACTTTTTTAACATTAACCCCTAGTTAGCCTAACACCCAATTCCCCACTAACTTCCACCCACCCCAGCTAGCTAAATATATAATTTTAAAATACTTAAATTAATAAAATACATGTAATTTAGGTCCGCCGGTGTCAGTCCACCCCCGATGTCCGGGTTACAGGTGAGGGGCGTGAGCGGGCTGGTGTGGGTGGTCAGCTGTTGCGGGTAGTGGAGGGCGCACCACACCTTCAGTGTCGCGTCGATGAGGAGGTTGCCTGTGCGGAGGGCATTGAGTGGTGTTCCCGTCCTCCACAGTTGCAAGGGTATTTTTCCTCCTGCCTGTGTTATCTCTGCTTGCACCCACAGTTTTTCCTTCGGGCGGACATGCCAGTCGGCAGCCCTCAGCAGATAGGTTGCTTGGTAGTAGCCTAGGATCGAGGGGAGCCCAAACCAGGAAATATATAGGTCCGTCCATTTTTGCATATCGGCCTGTAGCAAGGTCAGGATGGGGGCAAAATTCTCCTGGTACAGATGCAAGAATTCTTTGGTCAGCCAGATGCCGAGGTATTTTAGTTTAGAGCCACACTATCTGAATCTGAACTGGGATCGCAGGTGTGAATTAGGTTCAGTGGGGATCGAGATGTTGATGGCCTCAGACTTTTCTGTGTTGAGTTTCAGGTTCGAGATCCTCCCGAATGTGTGGAAGAGACCCAATAAATTCGGGATGAATATCATTGGTCGTTCCAGGAGAAAGGTGCATGGTCAGAGTCTCCGAGAATCCATATGTCCGCGGACATGAGCAAGGGGAGATATCCCTGTGCAACAAAGACGTAGTCTATCCTACTGTATTGGTTATGTGGGGCAAATAGCAGGTGAAGTCTCTCCCATCAGGGTGCACCGCCCGCCAGCAGTCAATTAGGCCGAGTCTGTTTAATGCTTGTTTGGTCTTGTGTATACAGTGGTCTGGTATGGTGCTAATACCCCGCGACGTATGTGCTCGTGGGTCATGGGGCAGGTTCATGTCCCCTGCCAATATCAGGAGCCCCTCCCTGAACTTCTTCAGGTGAGATAGCGTCCGGGCCAGGAATGAGTGTTGGCCTCAGTTGGGGCAGTACACATTGGCCAGGGTATATGGTCGGTCCGCTATGGTTCCCTTTAGGAAAAGGA